CTTCATCTTTTAAACAGATACTATACCTACCTCACATGATAGTTGTGAGTTATTTATGAAAAGTGCATTAGTACAGTACCTAATTACATATAAGCTCAGTACGAGAACTGTATGCATAATCTTACAATCCTGAGGTAAGCAGGATTGTCCTCTTTTCCAATGAGAAAGATAAAAGTGGTCACAGGTATGTTGCACAGTGAAGCTCTGAGTGATGCACAGTTTCTAATGCTAATGCAGGGTTGTTCCCTGTGTATCAAAATACAGCACAGATTTTGGGAAAACAAGGTAATTACCACTATTTGTAAGCAGTGTCATCGTGTCTGTCGTGAACTGTATATGTTGTATGGTTCTGTATTTTTAAAACTCCAGCTCAGAAAGAGTTTAGGTCAAGGAAAGGGACTACTGGAGGGTTAGATGTTGCATTGTTTGATGAATATCACTTCCAGATGTTAAAATTAACTCTGAATCTCCAAATAGAATTTATAAAATACTCTGATGTCTCTGTTTTTGTTTTTTTTTTTTTAAATAAGTATTCCTATTGCAAACCTAACGCTCTATCTGTACTGAATTTTGTGAGAGAAGTTAAGGGCAAAGATAGTTTGGCAATTAGTAGAATCTCAAGTATTTCATGACTCTGAATTTTATTCCTGTTTATGAAATGATTTGATACTATGGGGGGAAACTGAAAGAGATAGTCCCTTGATGTTTTAGACCCTTTAAAATGTATATGTCACAGATGGTTTTGTGACTATGATTTAGAAACTGGAAGCTCTTCCCCCCCCCCAAAGGTGTTAATATACCAAGTTTTAAATACAATTGTAAAGCGTCATTTAGACCCTGGACTAAGAATAACTGGTTTAAATACTATTGGGGACAGGCATGGTGGCTTACACTTATAATCCTAGCACTTTGAGAGGCCAAACCAGAAGCATCACTTGAGACCATGAGTTTGAAACCAACCTCAGGACCATAGTGAGACCCTGTTTCTACAAAAAAATATAAAAAATCAGCCAGGCATATAGCGCATACCTGTAGTTCCAGCTACTGTAGAGGCTAAGTGAGGAAGATCCCTTGAACCTAAAAGTTTGAGGTTGCCAAGAGCTCTGACGAAGCCAGTGAACAGAGCAAGATCCTGTGGATAAATGGATAGACACGGGAGGAAAGGAAAAGGAAAGAAAAAAAAGGAAGAGAGGGAGGAAGGGAAAAGAAGGAAAAGAAAGAATTGGACACTAGAATGTTTTTAATGTAGAAGTTTGAAAACAACCTTTTCTTACAGTAACACTACATTATGACAACCTAATTTTACTAAGGGCTAAATTGTCAAAGCTTCTCTTCCCCGGCCTATTTCTTACTCCTCTTATGAGCTTGCACACAATCATCTTTTTCATCCTTTTAAAGGACCTGACCAAATGTAACTGACTTTTCTTTTTTGAGACAGAGTCTCACTTTGTCACCCTCAATAGAGTGCTATGGTGACACAGCTCACAGCAACCTCCACTCTTGGGCTTAAATGATTCTCTTGCCTTAGCCTCCCAAGTAGCTGGGACTACAGGTGCCCACCGCAGCACCTGGCTATTTTTAGAGACAGGGTCTGGCTCTGAGCTCAGGCAATCCACCTGCCTTGGCCTCCCAGAATGCTAGGATTACAGGCGTGAGCCACACTGCACCCGGCCTGACTTTTCCTGCAAATTCATTTGTAATAAACGCGGACTCCATAGAGACATGATGTGGTAGTTAAATGTTTTAGTTTAGTAGAGGAAAATTCTTAAGTTTCTTTTCATTTGAACAGAGGCATTAATAATGTCCCAAAGACATGAAATCATTTGCCTTGCACAAATGAATAAAAAATGTAATAGCATAATGGTTGAAAACACGTTGTTGTGAAAAATTCACCTCGGCTATCTCTAGGTTTTTTGGATTGTCAGTATTTGACACTTTTCTTTCCATTTTAAGTATTCTTGTGCTACCTCTATGCTCTCTCTCTCTCCCCTAGATTATTTTACTCTGACCCTTGCAATGAACAATTTTTAGCAGTGTTCCTTCTGGGTATTGCATTACTGAAGCTGTGGGGCGGGGGTTGGGGGTAGAGTGGAGTTAATCGCCCATTTGGAGTAGATAAATAGAACAGAGAGCTGGAAGGTTCCTAGTCATGACACTTTCCTGTTCTCTTTTAACCAATTAGAGATATACTTAGGTCATTTCCTAAATCTGACTTATCAAAGTAATTACCTGTGACCCTTGTTAAAAATAAGAATTCTTAGAATTCACTCCAAACCTGCCCCCAGGGGAGAGAAATGGGAATCTTGTTTTTAACCATTCCTCAAGGTCAGTCTTCTTTGCATTGAAAAAGAACTCTAAATATAAATCATACTTGGTTTCTGAGATTTTGACTAGATCAGGGAAAAGAAGTTAGGTTACAAATGAGAAGGAAGGAGCAAAAGAAAATGATGATGAGAAAGGTAATTATCTTAATTCGTAAGATTTCATTGTGTACCTGGACCTTCTTTCAGAAAGTGGGTTGAAGCCAAAACAGAAGGGGTCTTCATTGGCTGGATAAAGGGTTTTGGGTTTCATTCAGTAGTACTATATAGCTAAACTGCCTATAGGTCTCCAAAGTAGAATGCATAATAGGAGAATTAGGGTTTGCGAAGAAACCTTCTGTTTATGTAATTTATCAAAAGAAGATGCTGGATTTTATTAATATTTAATAAACAATAAGTCAACTGGTAAAGAATCAAAACTATACATGGTGTTCTAAGCAAAGACTATTTCCATGAAAAGTGTTTCAAGCTGTGAAATTTTGAAATATACTTTTGGTCTTTGTCTAATTTCCTGGCACAGAACTCACAAAATCTTGGAATCTTCCAAGTGATAAAAGTATCTTTCTATGTGTTGGTGGATGACTGGCTGTCCCTACATAGTTTCAGAAAGGAGGCTGGTCACTGGAAAAATCTAGCATGATTTAAAGGTTGAGACCTTTAGCCCTATCCCCCAACAACCTCTGGGGAGGGGAGAGAGATTGAAAGTTAAGTCTGTCACCAGTGGCCATTGATTTAGTGAAGCAGGCCTACATAATAAAGCATGTATAAAAACCCACACATGCTGGGTTCTGAGTGAGGAGAGCTTCCAAATAGCTGAAGAAGTGAAAGTTCCCAGAGGGTGCTGTGCCTGGCCTATAGCTCACCCTGTGCCTTTATTTGTGTCCTTTAAAATATCCTTCGTATTAAATATGTAAATGTAAGTAAGTGTTTGTCTGAAATACTCTAGTAAATTAATTGAACCTACGGAGAAGGTTGCAGGAACACCAATTTACAGCTGTTGGTTGGAAGTACAAGTAAACAACCTAGAGCTTGCAATTGGCATCAGAAGTAGGGGGCAGTCTTATGGGACTGAGGCTTCAACCCATGGGATCTGATGCTATCTCTGGGAAAATTTAGTGTCAGAATTGAATTGAGGGACACCCAGCTGGTGTCCATTGCAGAATTAGTTAATTGGTTGTTGGTGGAGAGAAGTCCCTATACATGTCTTGGTAACCAGAGGTCACAAAAACATTTTGTGTTGTGCACTTGTGGTAGGAGAAACTGAGTTTATTCCCATATTTTCAGACTCACCTTTGGTGAATTATTGTAACCCATATATGTGAGTAGGTAACTACTCACAAATACTTTCTAATTCTAACCACAAAATGGACAAGCACCCTAAAAAGCATTGATACTAATATAAGAGTGAACGATAATGATCAAACTGATTTTTATACTCCTACTGTAAGCTATTTGTCAGCTATGTGACAAAACAAACAGTGATGTGGTAGGGCTGACAAGAAAGTGCCCCTCCCTAAAAAGGATAATTTTATATATGTATTTATATCCACTGTTACGTCTGGGTATGTTATGCCCTGAGTGTATATTGGATCTTAAAAATGCTAATAGACAGTGCAGTGGCTCACACCTGCAATCCTAGCACTAAGGGAGGCTGAGGCAGGAGGATCCCTTGAGCTCAGGAGTTTAAGACAAGAGTAAACAAGAGTATGACACGAAAAATAGAAAAATTAGCTGGGCATTGTGATGGGTGCCTGTAGTCCCAGCTGTTCCAGAGGCTAAGGCAGGAGGATAGCTTGAACCCAGTTGTTTAGGTTGCTGTGAGCTAAGATGCCACTGCACTCTACCCTGGGCAGCAGAGTGAGACTCTGTCCCAAAAACAAACTGACCAATAATATAGAACCATGTCCTTCCAACAGTTAAGATTTTATCTTTATATAAGCTGTTGTCCTGGGTAGAGTACTAGTGGCATCATAGCTCACAGCAACCTCAAACTCTTGGGCTCAAGGGATCTTCCTATGTAAGCTTCTCAAGTAACTGGGACTACAGGTGCCTACCACAGTTTTTCTGTTTTTAGTAGAGACAGGATCTCCCTCTTACTCAGGCTGGTCTCCAACTCCTGAGCTCAAGCAGTCCACCCACCTCACCCTCCTAGAGAGCTAAGATTACAGATGTGACCAACCTGCCTGGCCTAGTTGCTTACTTTTAAACCAATGGTTCTCAGCCTTCCTAATGCCATGATACAGTCCAAAGGGGTCTTGACCCACAGCTGTTGTAAACAGTTGATAACCAGTTTAAAAGGAAAGGTAAGCAGATAAATAGTTAGCAAATAGAATACCTGAACTTCTGGAAACTACAGAAAACAGATGGATAGAATGTCTTTATTACAGTTTTGGCCAAGAGTCACTAGCCTTTCCATTAAATATTATTTTGACAACATGAGCCAGAGTCTACTAATTTGCTTTAACATTTTTTGTTTTAGAAAATTGCAGAATGTCTTTTTAGTCCTGAAGCTACTATTTCATTGCCAATGTATTACTAAAAATGTCAAGCATGTATATATTAATTTCATTTATCAGAGAGCATGTCATTGTACTGTTTCCAGTTTTCTTGTTTTTTATTTGAACTTTATAGATATTTCTTTTCTAATGTGATGATGAAGAAATCTTTATTTTTAAACAGGATACATTAATTGTTTGGTCAGAAGCTGAGAACTATGACCTGGCTCTGAGTTTTCAAGAGAAAGCTGGTTGTGATGAGATTTGGGAAAAAATTTGCCAGGTAAGATTGTTTTTATGATGTTTAACTTTTGTTTTCATGTGTTCTTGAGTTGTTGTTTCCTTTTTAACTTGCAAGATGTTTCCTTTTTACTTAGACTGGAGAGATAATGTCTTAGTGTGAGGTTCAAAAACAACCTGGAAATTTTTTACTTAAAAATTTAAAAGCCTGGCTCTGGACCTGTAGCTCAGCAGCTAGAGTGCCAGCCACATACACCAGAGCTGGTGGGTTCGAACCCATCCCGGACCTGCCAAAACAATGACAGTTACAACAAAAAAATAGTCAGGCATTGTGGTGGGCACCTGTAGTCCCAGCTACTTGAAAGGCTAAGGCAAGAGAATTGCTTAAGCCCAAGAGCTAAAGGTTGCTATGAGCTGTGATGCGACAGCGCTCTTACAAAGGCAATATAGTGAGACTGTATCTCAAAAAAAAAAAAAAAAAAAAAATTAAAAGCCAAAAATCAATTTTGTCATAATTTTACCACACCACTGTAGATTTCAATAGCACATTTTCATAATTAGTGCCCTGTAGAATGGCAAGATCTTTAAATAAATTAAAAGAGGATTAAGTACAGATTTTTAGGTTTTGGGTTTTCTTTTTTTTAATATTTGGTCATATGTTTGCCTAACCTTGAGCCAGACAGTAATTATCAGAAGTATTCATGACTCACACTAGTCTGAAAGTAGTAAGTTATCTTGATTGCTCATAGTCAGTTACAAATATAACTTCTCATTCTACTCATTACCCCCTTCTCTCTACTGCACTTGGCTGGTCTTAAGAAAATGAAAGTACTTATGACTTCATCTCATGTGGAACTTACAGTGTAACAGAGCATTTAGGAATGTGGTAACTCTTAAGTAACTAGATTTTATTTATTTATTTTTAATCTTTATATAAGCTGTTGTCACTCTCAGTAGAGTGCTGTGGCATCACAGCTCACAGCAACCTCAAACTCTTGGGCTTAAGCGATTCTCTTGCCTCTGCCTCCCAAGTAGCTGAGAATACCAGTGCCTGCCACAATGCCCAGCTATTTTTGTTGTTATTCTAGTTGTTTGGGCTGGGTTCGAACCGGCCAGCCCTGGTATATATGGCCAGCACCCTAACCACTGAGCATAGGCACGGAGTCTAGAATTTTTTTTTAAATAAGCTTTTTATTTTATAATAATTTTAATTTTGTAGAAAATGTGAACAGAAAATACAGAGAATTTCAATATACTTTTCCCTGACAGCAGCATCTTCCCAACTGCACATAGGACAGTAAGATTACTATCTTATGTTAATGTGACACATTTGTCATAGTTAGTGAGCTAATATTAATATATTATTATTAACTAAAGTTAATGCATTATCCATATTTCCCAGCTTTACCCTAATGTCCTTTTTCTGTTCCAGCATTCCACGTAGGATACCATATTGCATTTACACCAGTCTCCTTATCTCCTTAGCCTTCTCTTACCTCTGGCAGTTGGAAATCATGACCTTCATGTTAACTGCCTTTTTAGTTAGTAGGCGATAACTTTTATTGGTTACTTAATACAATCTTTTGTAATTGGGGGGTTTTTTGTTTTTAGCCACTGCCCTTTTCATTTACACGAGCTTTTCTGTCTAGTGATTCTTGTCACTAAAGGTTCTTCAACCGGTTTCCTGGATATGACCACAATCCTTTTTTCCCCTTCATCTTCCCAATAACACTGCCACACAGTGGCTCAAGAAAAGCATGTGTGAACCTTCCTAACCTATTGGATAAGGCTTATTTGACACATGGCCCTCGGTTACTAAATTTCTCTTAATCAGAGTAGGTGCTTTGTTTCTTTCCTCATATCTTAATACCCGTCAAGCATTATTAAGCATTATTACTATAAATTAGTAAATAGCAGAATTCTAGCTGATAAGCAATTGAAATCAATAACCAGTAAATGTGATTTTGCAAGGTGGATTGCTTGAGCTCATGAGTTGGAGACCAGCCTGAGCAAAAGCAAGACACCATCTCTACTAAAAACAGAAGAACTGAGGCAAGAGAATCGCTTCAACCTAAGAGTGTGAGCTGTGACATCATGGCAGTCTACCCAGGGTGACGAATGAGACTGTCTCAACAACAACAACAACAAAAAAGTCAGACTAAAAGGTGGCCAAGAAGCTCAAGGTGGATAGTGGAGAAAGTTGTAACATTCCTCCCCCTCAATCTAGAAATTTTAGTAAGGAACAACCAACAACAGCTCAATAGATGACCAAGAATCAGAATTGCCAGATGAAGACTGTTGATGGGAAAAAAGAAAGAGAACATGGTCGTCACTCATCAGTAGCTGCGTGGCAGGCCATGCAGAATGGGGGAAAAACATTTTCCAGTAATCAAAATTGGAACTCGAGCTTATCAAGTTCCAGCTTATGTAATTTTTAAATCTCAAGGTAATCAAAACTGTGCTGGAACCAAATGTAGTGAGCCACCATCACCAAATGTTCTTCCCAAACCTCCAAGCCACTGGGTTCCTATTTTCTTTAATCCTTCAGATAAGGAAATAATGACAGTTCACCTTAAAGTACAGGTGTAAAGTAAGATAAAGTACTATTGTTTAAATTTAGGTGTTTACATATAGTAGACTGGTCTGAAACAGATTCACTGAGGAATCTTTTTGTGTAGAAGTAATTAATGTAAAAAAAAATAATTAGACTTCATTTCATTTGCTTTATGTATTGTATGCACTGTGATGTAATGGTAGTAAGTGCAGTGCAGCCTAAAGTAACTAAGTATTTGGTAATAAATATTCTCAACTGAGTATCTTATAAGTGAAACTTTAAATTTGGAGAAATGGTAAAGGAATCAACTTTCTCTGTTGCTCTTTTGGGGGGGGAATAGTAATTTAAGATTATCATTCATGGTTCTCAGATTGAGTTAGTGAATAGGATTATAAACATTTAGCTAAGACATGCAAGGATTGAAAACTAGTTGAACATATGAAAGCTCAATATACTAGAAGCAGCCACGCCAATAATAATGCCAACAACCTAATGTACTGCCAAAAGAAAATGTGAATTTTTCTTTATTTTACTTTTATTTATTTATTGAGACAAGAATCTCACTCTGTCACCCTGGATAGAGTGCCCTGGCATTATCGTAGCTCACAGCAACCTCAGGCTCTTGGGTTCAAGTGATCCTCTTGCCCCAGCCTCCCAAGTAGCTGGGACTATAGGCGCCTGCCACAATGTCCAGCTAGTTTTTCTATTTTTAGTAGATACAGGGTTTCAGTCTTGCTCAGGCTGATCTCAAACTCCTGAGCTCAAGCAATCCACCTCCCTCAGCCTCCCAAAGTGCTAGGATTATAGTCATGAGCCACTGCTCTGTGAATTTTTCTTAATAAGTACATTTTAGTACATTGTATAGTGGTAAATGTGGAAAGGGTACTTGAGACTTATTAGAATGAAGCCCTATTTTTTAATTCAGTGGGTAGGAGTTTACCAACAAATGCACCAAAAGCATTTTTTATAGAAACAGTATTTAATGGTCACTGAATAGCTTTAAAAATATATTTTTGTATTATAGCCCTGCATATGCTATTCAGACAGTGATCTGGCCTCATCATTCCTGCAAAGCCTGCTTAAAGTGGGGAATTGTATAATGTGGCAATTGTTAAGTACCTGGGGAGGAAAGAGTCATGTAAATACACGTAATAAACTTAGAGCACGTGTAACGTTTTCTTGGCCTTTATCCTACAAAAATAGAATTATTTTAGTATGAATTTACTGAATATAAGACCCTGGACTGTTTTTTTATACTATGGCCTAATTGTAAAGTTCCAAAAATATTTTGTTTTTAAAGTTTGCCCTTGTACTAAAGTGCCAATGTTATGAGTAATTTTGGTTGTAAAATTAAACCAAAATAATTGATTTTATCAAAATAAAGTCTAGTGTAGTAAGTTTTATATTACAACTAAAAAGATTTAAATTGCTAAGGCACTCCTTATTTTTAAGAGGTGAAATGCAGTATGGGTCTGTTTTTTTTCCCCTTTAAGCCCAAGGCGTCCCTCTAACCTTTAAAGATTCATTTCGCTTTCATCAGTTCTTGCAACCTGTGATACAGTGTTTAAGAGTAAGGTGCCTGCAAAAGATGTCATCTCTCGCCTCGTATTTTGATAACATGTTTTACCAACTGTTAAGGGTAAATGCTAAATATACCAGTTTGACCCAGTAGCAAGTTAAAAGAAGTGTGTGGGTGAGTTAAGAAAAATTGGCTATTCAATGTTCTATTTCCCTTTTTTTTTTTTTTTGACATTTATAAGGAAAATAGCTGTTGTTCTCTTAACTAAATTTATATGAAATAATATTGCCTAAGTCAAATTTTTTTTATTGTTGGGATTCATTGAGGGTATAAGAAATTAGGGCCTAAGTCAAATATTGATATCTTAAAGTCTATATAGTACTTAATGTACATAACAAATTTGAAGCATGAAATTTAAAAATAAAATTGTTTTTTCTCCCCTCCCCCCCAAGAATAACTTTTGACAATTTTAAATTCCTGAAAAGTGATATTTTATTTTGTATTCTTCCTCTTCTCCCTAATGCCAACATGGCAACTGACACATACTGTATGTGTACTCAGTATACATTTAATAAATGAATAATACAGAAGTCAGACATACATACATCTTTTTTAGAACTAGGGTGTTGATTTCCATATCTGCCAGAACCCATATGTGGTGGGTAATATGTTCCAGTGATCAGCTCTTTAGATTGTATATCTTCTCATACTTCTTCACCTACTATTTAACATATATTCTTGAATATACAGATATTCTTTCAGACTTTGTATATTTGCCCTGGAAATTTTTGTTGGAATTTGTTTTGTACTCTTCTCACTCATGTAGTTGAGGTCATCCCCGTGGCCACTTTCCATTTCAATAATTCATTCAAAAGACTTGAAGAATTCAGCAATACTGTCAAACTCATTGTTGTAGTTTATTACAGTGAAATGATTCAGGTTGAATTTACTATTGGGATAAGACACACAGGGCAGGGTCTAGGAGAGTTGCAGGCTTGAGCCTCCAGTTGTCTCTCAGTAGAGTCAGACAGCACTTAACTGCTCCTGGCAGTGATGTATGGCAACACTTATGGATTATTACCAACCAAGGAAGCTTACCCAAACCTTTGTGTCCAGCATTTTCATTGGGTGTCTCTCATATAAGCATGGCTGATGGCCCAGGTGGCTGATCTTATTTTTCAGCACTTCCAGGGGTCAGGGATACCTTCTGATAAGACAAAGGCGCATTTATGAGGCAGGATGTTCTCATGTTCAGAGTTTTCTTCTCAGGAAGAGTTGGAAAAGGGCCAAACCTTTCTTTAGGCAAGAGGCCAAACCTTCCTTCCTTTACTGCCTAAGCTACCCCTTGACCAAGACTCATACACTAAAATGGTATTTGTCTGAGCGTATGCATTTAATACAGCAGTTATGGTAGTAAGACAGGTAGTATTAGTAAAAATAGTATAAATATGCCTTATTTTGGAAGAGCCTTTATGAGGTAGAGATAAATCTAAAGAAATGACTAATCTGTCCTAGAAAGCCATGACATACTTTTTATATTTTTGTACAATTTGATTACTCATTCCCTTCCTTGTTCCACAGTTTATACCTTATGATAAACTTGTACAGAACTGTTTAGCATAGAAATTAAAATTAGCCAATAGTTAACAAAATCTAATTCTTGTTTAGTCCAGTCACTTTATATCACCATTACATCTCCCAGTACATTGATCAATATTATGAGATTTGTAGTACAGAAGGTAGCTCAATCAGCAATATAAGTGTTATACCACATCACAGTATAGTAATAGATGTAACCTGAAAGGTGAGAGTCTAGATACTGGCACATTGCTCAAATCCTGCTTATTAATAGTTCATCCAGTTCATCATCATCATATTGTATGACAAAACTACAGAGCAATGTCACTCTTCAAAATTTACAGATTTCCATTCAATTTTTCAGGTTCCAAGCTGAGCAGGGGTGGTCTTGGCAAATGTATGGCTTTGTTATTCCAGAGATCTGGTACAACTAAGCTAACAGACAATGTCATCTCTTACTCTGAGCCTTTCTTGAGTCACCAGTTAATACTGAATTTCCCTTACAGCATTACTCCTTTATTTTTTCCATTGCCCTCTATTACATTTCTCCTTCTCTCCATTTTTCATTGATTTTTAGGTGAACTTTCCCACCTTTGGAAGGGATGTTAAATTTGGCCATGCTGCTAGTCCAGCAAAGTTAATTCTTTTTTTTTTTTTTTGAGACAGAGCCTCAAGCTGTCCCCCTGGGTAGAGTGCTGTGGCATTACAGCTCACAGCAACCTCCAACTCCTGGGCTCAAGCGAGTCTCCTGCCTCCGCCTCCCAAGTAGCTGGGACCACAGGCGCCCGCCACAACGCCCGGCTATTTTTTGGTTGCAGCCATCATTGTTGTTTTGGCAGGTCCGGGCTGGGGATTTGAACCCGCCACCTTTGGTGTACGTGGCTGGCGCCTTAGCCGGTTGAGCTGTAGGCGCAGAGCCAGCAAAGTTAATTCTTTACTGCACAATTTAGCACTATACTTGTAAGACCTAGAAGGAAATTCTTCTGAGTTTGTAAGGCATTTTATGTGAACTGCTTTTATAACTTTGTTACTTATCCTTTCCCTTATAATTATGTGTCAATTTCCCTAAGCTTACTTTTGATGAGAACTCAGATACACAAGAAGGTGTATCTAGTATGCATTGGTGTATCCATCTACGACTCTCTAAGCTCTTAGATCTTTGCTTCATGTATTATTTTAGTGACCTTGAAAACTTTTGAAATTTGCTCTACTCAGAATATTTGGGATATTTTGAGATACAGAACAGTAAGGATAGTTGCACTCTTATGTTAAAAAGTTAGAAGGCTGAGGTGGGTGGGTTGTTTGAGCTCAGAAGTTCCAGACTAGCCTGAGCTAGTCTGGAAAAAAATTGAGAGACCCTGTCTCTAAAAAAGTAGGCAGGTGTTATGGCAGGTGCCTGTAGTCCCAGCTACTTGGAAAGCTGAGGTAAGAAGATTGCCTAAGCCCAAGAATTTGAGGTTGCTGTGAGCTATGACACCACCGCACTCTGCCAAGAGTGACAAAGTGAGACTATCTGAAGAAATAAAAAAATTGTTTTTAATTTAAAAAAAAGTAAGGATTTTGAAAAATTTTATGACGATAGTATTGTAAACGTTTTTGTTATTAAATAGAGTAATTCATTATAGAAGAAAATTTGTTAGTAGTGTTTATCTTGAGCTGTCAAGCAATCCTCTTGCCTCAGCCTCCTAAGTAGCTGAGACTAAAGACATCCACTACAGTGCTGTGCTAGTTTTTCTATTTTTAATAGAGACAGGGTCTTGCTCTTGCTCAGGCTTGTCTCAAACTCCTGAGCTCAGGTGGTCTATCTGCCCCAGCCTCTCATAGTCCTGGAATTATAAGCAGGAGCCTCGACATCTGGCCGCAAATGCCATTTTTTTTTTAAGAGAATTTAAAAGCAGTTTTAGGTTCACAGAAAAGCAAATATTTTCCAAAAGAAAATTTCAAAAGTAATTTAAAGAAATTGTATTTTTTCACTCTGAATATATGAGGATGATTTAATTTTGTTTGAACTTAGTAGTTTCCTTGTCAAACCAACGTAATGATGTGGTAAGTTACTTTACCTAGGGATGGTCAGTTTATTATAAAGAACTGTTCATGGTTATTACATAACTTAATAACCATGAATCTACGTAATATCAGCTGAAATGTTCAGGTTATCAGCAATTAGAGCTAATCTCAAGTTATAAGTTGGGAAATTTGTAGATGAAATTTTCTGTAGTGATTGAGTTAGGCTCAAATAGTTGACTGAAAACTTTGTGTATTTTCCCCTACTGTACATCACTGACTAGCAGTGACTATGTTACTAGTATTGGTTCTTTGTAAGGTATTTTTACTGAAGGTCACTGATTTCATTTCTAAGATTTTGAGTTATTCTCTTTTTTTCTTTTTGTTTTATTTTCTATTTTAAAGTAACTGGCTATGCTTTGGTACTTTTAGGTTCAGGGTAAGGACCCATCAGTGGAAGTCACCCAGGACCTCATTGATGAATCAGAAGAAGAACGATTTGAAGAAATGCCTGAAACAAGTCATCTGATTGACCTGCCCACGTGTGAACTCAATAAACTTGAAGAGATTGCTGATTTAGTTACCTCAGTTCTCTCCTCACCTATCCGTAGGGAAAAGCTGGCTCTGGCCTTAGAAAATGAAGGCTATATTAAAAAACTACTGCAGCTGTTCCAAGCTTGTGAGAACCTAGAAAACACTGAAGGCTTACACCATTTGTATGAAATTATTAGAGGAATCTTATTCCTAAATAAGGCAACTCTTTTTGAGGTAATGTTTTCTGATGAGTGTATCATGGATGTCGTGGGATGCCTTGAATATGACCCTGCTTTGGCTCAGCCAAAAAGACACAGAGAATTCTTGACCAAAACTGCAAAGTTTAAGGAAGTTATACCAATAACAGACTCTGAACTAAGGCAAAAAATACATCAGACTTACAGGGTGCAGTACATTCAGGATATCATTTTGCCTACACCATCTGTTTTTGAGGAGAATTTTCTTTCTACTCTTACGTCTTTTATTTTCTTCAACAAAGTTGAGATAGTCAGCATGTTGCAGGTAAGTAAACTGAGGTATTCTCCACTCTGTTTTTAAGTATTTAGTTCTCTTAATTATTTAAGCTGGTGTTCATGTCCTTTTTTTCTTTCTTAAATTAAGATTTTTGGGTTTTGTTTATATGTATTATAAGTATTAAAAAACAAACTTTATCTTGTGGTTTTTATAAAGGGGAATAAATTTTTAATGAAACTTTTTACAGTTTTAGATGGTTTATAATGCAGCTGGTATTTTCATTTGTTTGTTTGTTTGGGGTTTTTTGAGACAAGAGTCTTGCTCTGTCATCCTGGGTAGAGTGCCGTCGTGTCAGCCTAGCTTACAACAACCTTAAACTCGTAGGCTCAAGCGATCCACTTGCCTTAGCCTCCCCAGTAGCTGGGACTACAGGTGCATGCCACCATGCCCAGCTGAAGTCTCATTGTGCAGAGGCTGCTCTCAAACTCGCACTCTGAAATTATCTCCTGCCTCAGCCTTCCAGAGTGCTAGGATTATAGGCATGAGCTACTCGTTTCTTTTAATTTAATATTCATATTTTTTAAATTGAGAAAGGCCAGGCATTGTGGTTCATGCCTGTAATTCTAGCACTCTAGGAAGCCAAAGTGGGAGTATAATTTCAGAATGGGAGTTTGAGACCAGTCTAAGCAAGAGGGAGAGCCATCTCTACAAAAAAAATACACATACATTAGCTGGCCGTGGCGAATTGTACATGTAATTTCACCTACTAGGGAGGCTGAGGCAGGAGGAACACTTGAGCCCAGAAGTTTGAAGTTTCAGGGAGCTATGATGATACCACTTCACTCTAGCCAGGGCAACACAGCAAGACTCTGTCTCTAAAACATAGGATGGGATGGGATAAAAGAAAAGAAAAATATATAAAATATAAATAAAATAAAAATAGATAGCATATATATATAGCATAAAATTCACCATTTTAACCATTTTTAACCAATTCAGTGATATTAAGAACATTCATAGTGTTGCACAGCAATCCCCACTGTTTCTAGAACTTTTTCTTCACCCCAAACATAAACTCTACCCATTAAACAGTAACTCCCCGTACCCCCACTCCAGCTGTTGGTAACTAACACTATTCTATTTGCTGTCTCCATGATTTGCCTATTATAGATACCTATGAGTATTTTTTAATCCATTTTGAAAACTGTGGTTATTATTAGGTATGTGTGCTTAAAGCTTCCTAAGTAATTCATATGTGCAACCAGCATTGAGAAATATTCCATCACTTTCAGGAAATGATAATGAGGTTATTTGCTATGTGAAAATGATTTTATTCTCTCACCTTGAGTTGTAAAGTAAGACTTTTATGCCATGTATATCATGGTAATAATTTTATACCCTAACATTACAATTAGCATGCTGTTCAAGAATTTGCATTACTTGTGTTAAGACTACACTCAAATTTTCTATATAACTTGACTTTTGTAATTTCTATATTGGTTACTAAGTATATTAAACAGCTATTTTATACTTAGTGTTGTGGTTCTCAAAGTATGGTCTGTGGACCCCTGGAAGTTCCTGAAGCCGTTTCCCAGAGTCTGAGGTTTTTCCCTTTTCTGGCTTCATGTCAGCATATTCTTTTCATATACCTCAGCCCAAAGAAGATAACCACAACAGCTGAAATGCTGAAAAACGTAGGATAATCTAGTTGTCTTCTGTTAAGCTAAACGTGATGGAGATTTGCAAAACTGGAAAAGAAGGCTACTCTTCTTTCTAAATTCTTAAAATTTTGAATTGTATAGTTGTTTCTCTGTAAACATATTTACATAAACAAAATGACTTATTTTTAAATGAATTTATAAATAATTTCACCTTTTAGTTTTAATTATATTTGTGTTAATACTGATAAGCATTGTGCATGTAATAAAGGCTCTTAGAATCCTCCACAATATTTAAGAGTTTAAAGGGGCACATTGTGAGGGGATTTAGCATGGCCCTTGGGTGAAGGGCTCTTTTATAACTTGAACTTTACCTTGCAACTGAGAACAGTGTAATCGCAAAATGTGTATCCTCATTAATTTGAAATTAAAAAAAAAAAAAGAATTAAAGGGGTCCAGAGATAAATAGGTAGAGATATCTTAGTGTTTAGCTTTTAGACCCCATTTTTTCACATTTCCAACCAATATCATTTCTAACCAGTATTCATCTTTCCATTTTTATTTTATTTTTTTTCTCCACAATTTACTTCCCCTTATTATTCTTTTACCTAGCAGTTTTTCATTCTTCCCCAGTAATGAGTGTGAGGAGGTTAGGTATTCATATGAATTTCTGTTGTTGTATTTTTTATAATATATGGAACCCTTTTGTGTTTTGGGGGGTTTTTTGTTTTTTTGGTTTTTTATTTTGAAACAGTGTCTTACTGTGTTGCTCAGGCTTGCGTGGTGGCATGATCATAGCTCATTGCAGCCACAAACTCCTGAGCTCAAGTAATCCTCCTGCCTCAGCCTTCCGAATAGTTGGGACCACAGGTGTTTGCCACCACACCCAGCTAATTGTATTCTTTATTTTTTATTTTTTTTAGAGATCGGGTCTTGCTATGTTACTTGGGCTGGTCTTAAACTCCTGGCCTCAAGTAATTCTCCCACTTCAGCCTCCCAGAGTGCTGGGATCACAGGCATGAGTCACTTTTCCTGGCCAGGTCCTATTTTTTAAAACCATACTGTATAATTCAGGGTGCTGTTTTACTTACTGACAGGAAAATAGTTGTAGTCTTAATTAGAAGTAATAGTTACAGTCTGTAGTTGATGTCAAGATGTCAAGGACCCAGTGACAGAAGTTCAAATGTACCTTAGAAATGATTGCTTTTGACTTTAGAAGGGTTTCCCAATCCATAATAGTAAAATCATAAGTATTAATAGTTTTTTATATTTAAAAATAAATTGTGAAAACTAATCTAAATATTTGTAACACTTTGTATATTGTGTATTTTTGTCATAGGTTTATTTGTGAAGGTTGTAATTACGTGTAAATCGAATGCAGCTTTAAAAGGAAAGTCATTACCTGGGTGTGGTAATGCATACCTATAATAATCACAACTACTCAACCTGCGGTCAGGAGTTCAAAGCTGCAGTGAGCTATGATCTTAACATTGCATTCCAGCCTGGGCAGCGGAGTAAGGCCCCATCTCAAGAAAATAAATGAATGAATTTTTGTTTTAATTGTTTCTCTTTTTTTTGAGACACAATCTCACTATGTCACCCTAGTAGAGTATGTGGCATCACAGCTCACAGCAACCTCAAACTTTTGGGCTTATGCGATGATTCTCTTGCCTCAGTCTCCCAAGTAGCTGGGACTATAGGTGCCCGCCACAATGCCTGGCTATTTTTTGTTGCAGTTGTCATTTTTGGTTAGCTGGCCCAGGCTGGGTTGGAACCTGCCAACGTCGGTGTATGTGGCTAGTGCCATAACCACTGTGCTACAGGCACAGAGCCCTTTTTACGATTGTTTTTCTTTACTTAACCACTTACTATACTAAGGTTAAAACAAGTTTTAAAAAATAAAGACCTAATTTATGGTTCTCGAGACACATTTTGCAAAATAGGCAGATATTATGAACCACCAGTATTTTTTAAATATAGAATTTGGACCAGATGGAGTGGCTCACGCCTATAATCCCAGCACTCTAGGAGGCCGAGCCAGGTAGATTGACTGAGCTCATGAGTTTGAGACTAGCCAGAGCAAGAATGATACTCCATCTGTAAAAATAGCTGAGCTTTGTGGCAAGCACCTGTAGTCCCAGCTATTCAGGAGGCTAAGGCAAGAGAATCACATGAGCCAGAGAGTTTGAGATTACTGTGAGCTATGACTCACTCTACTGAGGCAACAAAGTGAGACTCTGTCTCAGAACAAAAAAAAGATTAAATAAATCTGGAGTTTGTTTATTTTTAATTTTTTAGAGATAATCTCTCTTGCCAAGGCTGGCTTGCAGTAGTGTGATCATAGTTCCATCTAATCTTCAATACCTGGGCTCAAGTGATTTCTCCCACTTTAGCCTCCTAAATAGCTAGATTCACACTATCATGCTCAACTAATTTTTAAAAAGTTTTTTGTAGAGTCAGGGTCTTGATATATTACCTAGGCTGGTCTTGAACTCCTTGCCTCAAGTAATAATCCTTTAGCACTGGAATTACAGGATGAGCCACTGTGACTCAGCCTATCTAGGGTCTAATACTTTGTGCCAACATGGATGCTGAATCCTGTTTTCAACAATATGTGAAAGGGAAAATAAGGTTGTGGCCAGGGGCCTCTAAACACTCATTTCCTAAAGCTCAGCTATGAGATTTCCATACAAATTTTTTTTGGCTAGCTATTAGGAATTTCCGGGCATGCTTCTGACTAGTATACATATCTGTGGCTTCTTTTGTTGTTAGTTTGTTTTGGTTTTGAGACAGGGTCTTATTCTGTTCCCAAGGCTAGAGTGCAGTGGCTTCATTGTAGCTTATAGCAACCTCAACTCCTGGACTCAAGTGCCTCTTCTCCCTCAGCCTCAGTAGCTGGGACTGTAGGGACACACCACCACTCCTGGCTATGTTTTATTTTTTCTTGTTTTGTAGAAACAGAGTTTCACCATTTGTCAGGCTCATCTCAAACTTCTAGGCTCAAGCAATTCTTCCTCCTCAGCCTCCTAAAGTGCCAGGATTCCAGGCATGAGCCGCTACACCTGGCTTCTGTGGCTTCTTAAATGAGTTTTAACCTGCTGTTACATGAGTTATATAAACCAAGTGAAAATATAAGCCTTTTATCCAACTGGGCCAAATTGAGGTATAGTACAAAGGTACTTAACATAAATTCTAGCTTAAATTAGATTTAATTACCTGAAAAATTATACAAGAACATTTATTGTCATCACTGACTAAACTCATATGCATTAACATTTTCTTAAAGCATGATGGGGCTTAAGATTTTAGTCAATCTGAATTTTCTAGTTAATGGCAGTTGAAAAAAATCTCTATGTCCCGAATTGAGCAGTATACTTTAAAAATATTTTACACATTAAATTCCTAAAAGCAGTAAAGTAAAATTTTAATTTCCACACAAACATCTACAGAATAAGAGCCTTTTCCGAAAAGAAAGTATTCATTTTTCCCCTTGTTGAAATGATGGAAGACAGGAATATTAAATGCTGACTTTTTTTTTTTGAGACAGTCTCACTTTGTCATAGCTCACAGTCACCTCAGACACTTGGGCTTAAGCGATCCTCTTGCCTCAGCCTCCCATGTAACTGGGACTACAGGCCCCTGCCACAACACCTGGCTATTTTTTTTTTAGAGATAAAGTCTCCTTCTATCTCAGGCTGGTCTCGAACTCTTGGGCTTAAGCGATCCTCTTGCCTCAGCCTCCCATGTAACTGGGACTACAGGCACCTGCCACAACACCTGGCTATTTTTTTTTTAGAGATAAAGTCTCCTTCTATCTCAGGCTGGTCTCGAACTCCTGAGCTCAGATGATGCACCCGCCTTGGCCTCCCAGAGTGCTGGGATTACATGAGTGAGCCAAAAAAAAACATGGTGACATTTTAACACATTACTATTTTCCCATTGTTCTATAGATAAGAGTTAAGCTTAAAATAAACCCAATGGTTTAGTCTCTTTTTTAAGCATATTTGCAAATACTATGTTTTTAGCACCAAAAGAAGAAAATTTCTAACTTTTCATTGCAGTTACTAATTAAATATGTAAAATCTTCAAATGCCTTTAAAAAAACTGTTCAAAGTGATAATGGTTTTTCATTTTGTTTTTAGAGACTTTTTTTTAACTCATGTAGGATTTAACATATTAAATCACATGTGCTTATTACTAGATTTGGTCCATTCTAACCTATGTATGTTTTGCACTGGTTTGAGTCACAATTTTGAACTACTTGGGAACCTGTTCTGTACTTTATCTGATAAGAGTAACAAAAACCTCATTTATTATTTGAGGGACATGGTTTCTAAATCTATCTCTGTCTAGCCTCAAGTCCACCCTTTGCATCTCAGTCTCCTAAAATTTAAAATTGGACAAGGCAGTCTCTGTAATGTTGTAAAGTCTGATCTAATGCTAAATTTCTGTGTTAATGGGACTCTAAAAATGATAAACAGGTTCTACTTTGTTTTGCCTGTTTTTACGTTTTTGCAAAAAAAAAGTTTGAGTTATAATTTTTAGCAGCAACCCCATTTTTCCCCCTCAGAATTTTGTTATATTATCCAGAAAAGCAACCACACAATTTGACATACGTATTTGTATTTATTAAAATAAAACCTCTTAAAACCAAGTGGAAAAGAAAAAATGATCTAAAGAAATTTGTTTAATTACTTGGAGAACTAAAAAATTTTGGAGTAAACATTCCAACTGTATGATAGGCTTTAAGTAATTAATCCCTTGCTGCCTTAATACATACTTGCTATAACAGATTAACCAATATCATCAAGGGTAATGTTGGAATCAGGAAAAAAATATACCTGGAATCAGAAAGCATTTTCTTAATAAATGATAATACTTGAGATTGCCTTGATGTATAATATTTTATGCATTTCTAGCTATCAGTTCACAAGTACTGAATCATATAAGAAGAATTTAAATGAGAAATTGCATTTATCAAGGAGTTGGAATTTTTTTCCTATGAAAATATTCTGAAAAAGTTAAAAATTTTCTGACAGGAAAGGAAGCAGATTTAATCTGGGAGAGATGCAGAAAGATAAAAATTTACAGAAGGTGTGAATGGAGGTATATATGTATTTGTTCACTCAAACCTAGAATATTGAGACTAAAAATATTTGGAAAAAAGTGATTTGAGGGGTAAGTAAAAGATTACATATGCATATGAACTCCCTTAAAAGATTGATGGATGGATGGTTGGATGATTTGGGCTATAGTGTATAAGGTCCAAAAGGAGTCAACAAAATAAGAAAAGAAACATCATCTATTGAAATGATTTATCTCCTACTGTTCTTTTAGTAGCACCAGGTAAGGGTTAGCGAGAGAGGATGTTATATGCCTTATAATTGTACCTAGTGGTTTTCATTCATTTTTTCATACACGCTCTACCTTATTTCAGAAAGGACTTAAGGGATTGATAGCACTTACTGGGCAGTAAGAAAAGGGCAGATTTTAGAGGTATATCCTTTACATGTTACAGTTTGTTACAATTTGATTATGTCATAAACCAAACAGGTATTACCACTATAGACTTTTTTAGAATAGTCTACTTTAATTAAAATTAACAGAAATTGGGCACAATGGCTCTCTCACTTGTAATTCTAGCCCTTTGGGAGCCCAAGGCAGAAGGATTGCTGAGGCCAAAAGTTCAAGACCAAAGACAACAAAGCAAGACCTGTCTCTATAAAAAATTTAAAATCAGCTGGGCATAGTAGCGTGCACCTGTAGTCCCAGCTACCCAAGCAGGAAATCACTTGAGCCCAGTCTGCAGTGAGTTTTGATTGTGCCATTGCACTCCAGCCTGAGCAATATTTCCTTTTAAGAGAATAAGATCATCTCTTAAAAGGAAAAAAAATTAATGGAAATTGTATTTTATAAAAGTGAATTTTGAAGATAACTGAAGTTTAAACACACCAATTTTTTACCACTTTTCTTTTTTTTTTTTTTTACCATTTACCCTTTTTCTGACCATTTTCTTTTAGGAAATTTTAACAGAAAACATCACTAAAGAGAATTTCAATATTTGTCAGTATTTTCTTTGTGATAATACTCCATGCTTATTGTAGAAAATTAGAAAATATAGATAAGCAAGAAAAAAAATTACTCCTATCATCAAGAGATAACCACAGTTAATATTTTAAAATATATCCCTTCTAGACTTCAACACATGTTCTTTTAAGCAGTGCCTAGGGAAATTAAAATTTATGTGTCTTTTAATGCCTCAGAGTCAGCAATATAAAAAGCAATTATTTGTAGAATTTTTTATCTAGTTATATCCTTGGGAACCATAAGACTATAGAGGACTGGGCTGTAGATTATTATATTTCATGAGTTCTTGAGTTTTAAAGGACTTTGTAATTTTTTCTGCTACCGGAATTCAGCCTTCTTTCCTGATTCTCTGTGTTGTGTCATAGAAGTTCTTTTTCTAATCTGTTGTGGATTGACGATGATATTTAAATTAAGAGTAAATGGACCCTCAAAGGAGTCTAGAGTGACTATCAAAGTAAACGAATTTTCATATTAACACCTGTAGCACATACATTTTTATTTTCTAAAGAGTTTCTTTTGTTTTGTTTTTTTTTTGAGATTTCTGGTTAATTAGGTACGAGTGTGTATATAACTAAAATTGAATAGTGTCATCAAGTTTTGGAAAATTGTTTGATTGGCTTTTTCTTTTTGTTTTTGAGATGGAGTCTCAGTCTTTCACCCTGGGTAGAGTGCCGTGGCATGGCTCACTGCATCCTCAAACTCTCAGGCTCAAGTGATGCTCTTGCCTCAGCATTCCAAGTATCTGGAACTACAGCGCCTGCCATAGTACCCAGTTGGTTTTTCTATTTTTAGTATAAATGGGGGTCTCTCTCTTGCTCAGGCTAGTCTCTAACTCCTGAGCTTAAGCAATCCACCCACCTCTGCCTCCCACAGTGCTAGAATTACAGGCGTGAGCCATTCTGCCCAGCAGCAAGTTTTGGGAAATTGTAACACAAATATACCCTGAGATTTTTATTTTCATTATGAAATGCTATTGAGTTTTCAGCTACTTTTATGATAATTTGTATAAATCATATAAATGAGTGTAACTATATTTTTATCAGTATTTCGTAATAATTCCTCTCATGCAGGAAGATGAGAAATTTTTGTCTGAAGTTTTTGCACAATTAACAGATGAGGCTACAGATGATGATAAACGACGTGAATTGGTAAGTTATTCATGAAATTCAAACTTTCAGAAAGCAGTTACTCATTTGGTGTGGACAGTTTTTAATCTTAAATGTGTTAACTTGAGAGTATTTTTTATAGTTAGTATGATTGAAAGTTTTATTTAAGTTGAATTATAAAATGATTACTCAAAATTTCTTTTTATTTGTTTTTTATTAGATCATAATTGTGTACATTAATTCTCTCATAGGATACGTGTGTTACTTCTATATGCAGTTTGGAAAACTCTCCTCCAAGTGGCTTACATAGCCATCATGTCTTTCTCATAATTGTTATGTTAAGACATTTATATTCAACCTTTAGACATATTCACCTGTACCCAAATAGGATAAATTGTAGGCGTGATCCCCACAATATCATTCTCTTCACCCATCCTCCCCCTCCCCTTTCCCTGTAGTCTAGGGCTCTTAAAATTTCTACAGTTTTTGTTTTGCATATTTTATAACACTCTTAAGATATTCTGATAGATCTTCCCATCACCACCGTGAGGAAATTGATATGCTTTATAAATCCCAAATGAGGTAATTGGTTTTTGTTAGGGCAGAAATACAAACTTACAAATTTTTATGGTTATAGATATTAAATTATAGAGATGCTTTTCTTTTTAACTAAAAGGTAAAAAGAATGCTTCTTGAGTAAATGAATGATAAATACTTCAGTTCTTTGGAAATGTTTTTTGTTTTCCAGTTTATTTGTAAGCACTTCTTTTTGGGATATAAACTATGTTTTGGGGAAGAGAATAATGATTGCAATTTACTGTTGTTTCCCATTTTTTTCAGACATTATAATTAGATATTTAGAGTTTTACAAAATAATGAAAGTTTGCTGGCTTAAAACAATCAACCAGGGTGGCACCTGTGGCTCAAGGAGTAGGGTGCCAGCCCCGTATACTACAGGTGGTAGGTTCAAACCCAGCCCCGGCCAAAAACTGCAAACAACAAAAACGATCAACCACCCAAGTCATTTTTAATGTATTTATTACTAGCCTACTCCATTTTCTCACTTGAAAAATTAGTGTTTTAGATTAGGGAATCTCTGATGTCCTTTTCAGTTCTTAAAACTCTTAATTTTATTTTTGAGAGCTCCCTGTGAACCCAGCGAGTCTGTTAGAATGGTTTCTGTGAAAATATGTGTTCTTAATTCAAAGCAAATTCCGTAACGTGGCATTTTTGCACTGAATGTCTTCAGAGATTTAATTGGTCAGTGTTTGAGAAATAATGCAAGATTGATTTCTAATGGGTTGCTAGTTTTTATTCTGTTTTTTAATGTAGGTTTTGAGAAGCCAGTTTTACTCAGAAAAGATGAAAGCCTTCAAAAGGATGAATTCCACATTGTGATATATCACATTATAGTGTGCCCCAAATTTATTTTTATTTTTAGCAATTTCTCACTGTGATTTCTAACATTGCAGGTTAACTTTTTCAAGGAATTTTGTGCATTTTCTCAGACGTTACAACCTCAGAACAGGGATGCATTTTTCAAAACTTTGGCAAAATTGGGAATTCTTCCTGCTCTTGAAATTGTAATGGTAATTATACAGTTTCTTTTCATGTTTTTGAAATTATGAATTTATAACAGATTTATATTATGGATGGGGAAGTATTCATTATAGGAATGCGTATTGAATTCTCTTATTTAGTTTAATTTACCTGATACTGAATGAATGCAAGAATGTCTTCAGTTTTCAGATTTTTACTGATTCAATTTGTAACATCAATATATAATCACTTGCATAGAATATGGCTTACAGTGAATAAAAACTCCACGTTTTTGCACAGTTATCTTTTCTGTAACAATAATTAGTGTGTGTCATAGAAATCAGTAAAATGCCTTTCCTTTCTAGGTTAGTGAGTGGAATAAGGACAGACAGAAATAGGGGGTCTCATGCTGCAAAATGGAGTTAAGGCATAATTCTTAGATTTTTGTTTATATGAATTTTATCCATTGGTATTTACTATGTGAAAAATTAAAACAAAAATTTTAAGTAGTAAAGTGACAGTCCACTATGTTAACATTAAAAACTTATGAAAAAATAATTTTCCCAAAACAAAAAACAAATTTGATGAAAAGAATGACACAATATTATACATTTTTTCCCTAATCCCTTTAGTCTGATATAAGGTGGCTGGATTTACATAGCAATGTCTACATTTAATTTGTTGTGATATCACATGTTATGTAGCCTCTGGAAAACATTACTGTCCTTGTAATTGAGAGTGAAAAAGACTGAAAAGTCTTAGTATTAATTTATATTATGAAAATAGTTTAAATCTTGTATACTTCCTGCAAAGGATATTAGACCTCCTCCCCAGAATTCCCTGGACTACACTTTCAGAAAGAACTACTGGGTCAGGAAATGGTTTTAGAATCACCTGAAAATTTTGTTAAGTTACAGATCATGTGTCTTTCATGTGTTGGAGGAGAAAAAGCATTCAGGATCACTATCTTAGAAAACTGTTGGCAGGGAGGGTAAAAATGTCCAAAAAGAGTTGTCAGAAGGATCTGTTAGGTGACTAATGGAAGATAGAATGTTATTAGGAATAAACCCTGGCAAATCCAGGACAAAAGACATTCTGAAAAGATTGAGGCCTTAGCTGGGGATAATATTCAAATTTTTGCATATATTAAACTAGATCTCCCCAGATTTGTTTACAGCATTTTTTAAGCATTGATTTATAAACCTGTGCTGATTGATATATTAGGTTCTCTGAATATTTTTTTTTTGGTGATAAAACCTAGCCGAAATTAATCATTGAGCTGCCTAAAAGTTTTAATACATAAAAAGAAAGCATGAAAAGGTCAGAGAGGTTTTTTATATACATAGAAAGTCTTGGTATTATTTATTGTGAAAGTAGTTTTAATCTTACTTCCTGAAAGGAAATATGTGTATTGATTACAATACAACACCTTAATCTAAAAGTTGAGAGGTAGTACACATATTTGGAAGAGAAGAAAAAATGCAGTAACTCTCATGAATAGTCTAAATAACCTAGTTTTTCTTTTATCAGGGCATGGATGATTTGCAAGTCAGATCAGCTGCTACAGATATATTTTCTTATTTAGTAGAGTTTAGTCCATCTATGGTCCGAGAATTTGTAATGCAAGAAGCTCAGCAGAGTGATGATGTAAGTAATTATGCATGGTTCCATGTAAATTTCCTGTAACACTCTACCAGTATTTACAAACTATTAAAAGACATAATCTTAATCTTTTTTGGAATAAAATAATGGATTTCAGAACTGTTGTGACTTTTGTAACTTAGAATATGTGGCAATTGATTTTGCTTATTATAAATAAAAAACAGATACTTAAACAAATATTGGCAAAGAGTAAAACTGAATCAGATTCTTAAATACTGTCTTGGCGCCTGTGGTTCAAGTGGCTAAGGCACCAGCCACATACACTTAAGGTGGCAGGTTTGAATCCAACCTGGGCCCACCAAACAACAATGACAGCGGCAACCAAAAAAATAGCCGGGTGTTGTGGCGGGCGCCTGTGGTCCCAGCTACTTGGGAGGCTGAGGCAGGAGACTCACTTAAGCCCAGGAGTTGGAGGTTGCTGTGAGTTGGGTTGTCACAGGACTCTACCCAGGGGGACAGCTTGAAGCTCCGTCTCAAAAAAAAAAAGATTCTTAAATATTGTTTTTTTTTTAAATGTTGAGTGATACTCAATTGTAATTTAAAGCCGTTAGGTCAGGTACTAAGCAGTTGCTTTCAGGGTTTGTTTTTTTTTGTTTGTTTGTTTTTGTTTTTGAGACAGAGTCTTACTTTGTTGCCCAGGCTACAATGCAATGGCATCAGCCTAAGCTCACAGCAACCTCAAACTCCTGGGTTCAGGGGAACTTCCCACCTCAACTTCCCAAGTAGCCTCCCACCACAATGCCCACCTAGTTTTTCTATTTTTAGTAGAGAGCGCATCTCCCTCTTGCTCAGGCTGGTCTCAAACTCCTGGGCCTAGAGTATAGTGGCACAGTAGCATATTATATCTCACTACAAACTCAAACTCTTGGGCTCAGGTGATCTTCCTGTCTCAACTTCCCTAACGCCTAGGACTATAGGTGTAAGCCACCTGGTTAGGGTATAGCCCTTTATATTAAGACCCAAGAGTGTGTGTCAAATCTGTTTGGCATTAAATCATTTTATAATATAACGTTCACTTATCTCACCTCCTATAGAGAGTTATATACTGGATTTTTTTTTGTCTTTTTTTTTTTTCCCTGGGTAGGATTTCTAGTTAGAGGCTGAAGTGATCTATATTTTAGGGTCATATGTTATGTGATCTTGCTTATTTTGTCAGCTTTTAAGTTCATTACTTAGGTTGAAACCTACGTAAGAGTCTGTTACAACCTCCAGTGAACAAAAATCATTGCTATAATTTGGGGCATGCTCTGCCCTTTTTTTTTTTCTTTGAGTGGGATTTTTCACTGTACTGTGTTTATAAAACTTTGAAAATATTCAAGGGAAAAAAATTTAAGGTCTTCCATTTTTTGTTTTCTGTGTGATTCTGATCTTGTTCTTTCAAATGCTATTCTGATTTTATTCCTTCAAATGGTATGTGTATCTTATATCCAAATAAGGTCTAAAGGAAAAACGGGGGTTTTTTTGATGCTTTTTTTTTTCCAGGATATCCTTCTTATTAATGTAGTAATTGAACAGATGATCTGTGATACCGATCCTGAGCTAGGAGGTGCTGTTCAGTTAATGGGACTTCTTCGTACTCTTATTGATCCAGAGAACATGCTGGCTACAACTAATGTAAGAAACCTTGAGATAAAAATGTTTTGATCTACTCAATTTAACCTGGTTTTATAATAAAATTTTGAGAGACAACGAATACTTGTTTGTACACTTAGTATTAAAGTAGCAGTGGTACTCTTGTAGCAATTCGTTTCCAACATTTTAATCTATTAAAATCTTAGTAAATTTAGGGCTGGGCACAATGGCTCACACCTGTAATCCTAGCACTCTGAGAGTCTAAGGTTGGTGGATTGCTTGAGCTCAGGAGTTCGAGTCCAGCCTGAGCAGGAGTGAGACCCCAGCTCTAAATGTATTCAGGTGTTGGGGCAGGGTCCTACTGTCCCAGCTATCAGGGAAGCTTAGACAAGAGGATCACTTGAGCCCAAGAGTTTGAAGTTGCTGTGAGCTATGATGTCCCAGCACTCTACCTAGGGCTGCAAAGTGAGACTCTGTCTCAAAAAAAATAAAAATAAAATCTTAGTAAATTGTTAGGTATTCCATTTATAGTTCTTGGCCTCTGTGTGTTAATTTCCGAAAAATTAATAAACATTGGGCGGCTTCTGTAGCATAATGGGTGGAGCACTAGCCACTTACACTGAGGCTGGCGGGTTTGAACCTGGCCTGGGCCAGCTAAAACAATAATGGCAACTGCAACAAAAGAGAATAGCCAGGCATTGTGGCAGGCACCTATAGTCCCAGCTACTTGGGAGGCTGAGGCAAGAGAATTGCTTCAGCCCAAGAGTTTGAGGTTGCTGTGAGCTGTGATGCCATGGCACTCTACCCAGGGTGACGGCTTGAGACTCTGTCTCAAAATAAATAAATAAGACACATCAGTGTGAATATACTTAATAGTACTGAACTATACACTTAAAAAAATGTTAACTTTTCAAATGATAAATTTTTATATTATTTATATTATTTAGTTTTATCACTTTAAAAAGAGAAAAATTACTAATAATGAGCTTAATTGCTTATTGTCATAAAAAATATTCAATGAGTAAGTCCATAAATCCTTAATACTCAAAGATTAAGTACTCTAAAATATTAATAGCCGTTATTTCAATGTAGAAGAATATTTCTTCTTTATATAATATGTTCATTGTTTTTTGTTTTTTGTTTTTTGGTTTTTGGTTTTTTTTTTTTTGAGACAGAGCCTCAAGCTGTCCCCCTGGGTAGAGTGCCGTGGCATTACAGCTCACAGCAACCTCCAACTCCTGGGCTCTAGCGAGTCTCCTGCCTCCGCCTCCCAAGCAGCTGGGACCACAGGCGCCCGCCACAACGCCTGGCCATTTTTTGGTTGCAGCTGTCATTGTTGTTTGGTGGGCCAGGCTGGGTATTCGAACCCGCCACCTTAGGTGTATGTGGCTGGCGCCTTAGCCGCTTGAGCTATAGACGCCGAGCCGTGTTCATTGTTTTTAAATCATTACAAGTTTAACAAAAATCAAAAGACATTATTTTCCAATTATAAACTTCATAAATTTAAAAAATAGATGTAGGCACAGCACCTGTGGCTCAAGTGGCTAAGGCACCAGCCACTTACACCTAAGGTGGTGAGTTCGAATCCAACCTGGCCCGCCAAACAACAATGACAGCTGCAACCAAAAAAATAGCCAGGCATTGTGGCGGGCGCCTGTGGTCCCAGCTACTTGGGAGGCAGAGGCAAGAGACTAACTTGAGCCCAGGAGTTGGAGGTTGCTGTGAGCTGTGATGCCACAGCACTCTACCCAGGGGGACAGCTTAAGGCTCTGTCTCAAAATAAATAAATAAATAAATAAAAAATAGATGTAAATTTATCTATGTAATAGCTTGATAAATTGATTCAGTGATTTTTAAAATTTGAAACAATGCTAAAATCTGACATTCTGAATTTGAAGCCATTAAGCTACTATCAAATGGCTTGATTGATTGATTGATTTTTTGAGAAAGAGTCTCAAGCTGTCACCCTAGGTAGAGTGCTATAGCATCACAGCTCATAGCAACCTCAAACTCTTGGGCTGAAGAGATTCTTTTGCCTGAGCCTCCGAAATATCTGGGACTACAGGCGCCTACCACAATGCCCGGCTATTTTTTGTTATTGTTGTTGCACTTGTCATTGTTGTCTTAGCTGGCCTGGGTTAGGGGTTCAAACCCACCAGCCTTGGTGTATGTGGCCAGCACCCTACCCACTGAGCTCCAGGCACTGCCCATTGATTTATTCTTTATTTTTTTGGCCAGGACTGGGTTTGAACCCGCCACCTCCAGCATATGGGGATGGCGCCCTACCCTTTTGAGCCACAGGCGCACCCTAAATTCTTTTTTCTTTTTTTTTTTCCAGTTTTTGGCAGAGCTGGGTTTGACCCCACCACCTCCAGCATATGGAGCTGGTGCCCTACTGCTTTGAGCCACAGGCACCGCCTGATTTATTCTTTTAAAAAATGTTTAGTTTTTATTGAAAAACAGATTTAAATATTCTTTCACATTTGAATGTTGTTATTTTTAAAGATGAGAAAATTTTATAAAGTCCTTTTTTGGTACATTCTTGGGGGGATATCAGTATAGTATGCAGAGAGAAATTGATCAACAGTGGTGATTATGGGCCAGGTGCAGTACCTTACACCTGAAATACAGGCACTCTGGAGGCCAAGGTGGTTGAATTGCCTGATCTCACGGGTTCGAGACCAGCCTGAGTCAGAGCGAGACCCCGTTTCTAAAAGTACCTGGGTATTGTTTCTGCCACTTATAGTCCCAGCTACTTGGGAGGCTGAGACAAGAGAATCGCTTGAGCCCAAGAGTTTGAGGTTATGTGAGCTATGTGATGTCATGGCACTTCGCCAAGGGTGGGAAAAATGAAACTCTGACTCCAAAAAAAAAAGTGGTGATTATGGTGCATGCTGTTCGGATGTACATGTTACTTAGTTTTTTGCCTATTTATCTCATTTATTTATGGTAGATTTACTCTGTTAGCAATTTTCAAGTATACAGTACATTGTTATTAACTGTGATCACCATGTTATATAATAGATTGATTGGCTCTTTATTGCAGTTCAGATTACTCTTTTTTTTTTTCTTCTTTAAATAGTCTTACTCTCAACTCCTGGTCTCAAGGGATTCTCCTGCTTCTACCTTGCCAGTAGCTGGGACTCTACCACCATATGTGGCTAATTTTTCTAACTTTTGTAGAGATGGGAGTCTCCCTCTTGGTCAGACTGGTCTCATACTCCTTTCCTTAAGCAAGCCTCCCACTTCACCCTCCCAGAGTGCTAGGATTACCAGCATAAACTACCATGCCCAGCCACAAACACCTTTTGAAAAGAAAATTATTTTGAATGATTTCCCTTGGAAAAATGTTATGATGCTATGTGTTATTTATCTTACATTTATTTTTACTTAACATATAGCATGAAGTCAACTTCATTTTAAGTTATGCAGAAATAAGATTAAATGAATATAACTCACTTTTTGGTTTTTCACAGTATCTTAAAGTATTTCTTATAAATGATCTGCACTGCTAATTCTTAAGGATGTTTTATTCATTACAAAGTTAGCACAGTTTTCTTTTTAATTCTCTGTTTCAGAAAACTGAAAAAAGTGAATTTCTAAATTTCTTCTACAACCATTGTATGCATGTCCTCACAGCACCGCTTTTGACCAACACATCAGAAGACAAATGTGAAAAGGGTAAGGTCTCTTATTTATTTGCTTATGATTTCTGTTTTTAAAGAAGGGTAAAATAAATATTAGAATTATAGGCTGTCTACTTGATGCTTTATATGATAAGGAAATTACTGCTGAAAACTTTAAACTCTAGTATAAAATCATGATTTCCCTTGTTTTTTAGTGGCTGTGGAAGAGAATGATAAAGTGGAACAAGAATATAGTTTGGCATAACATTTCTAGTTATTTACTAGAGAAGTTTTTCTGAGTATATAAAGAATTGGAAAAAAAGAGAGAAAGAGGCAGAATGTTATCTCAGGGTAGGAAGAGAGATGCACGTAGACACTTAGCAAAAGAAGCATGTTGTTCTGAGTTATTAGAACTGATATCTAGAGTGAGTAGAAACTTCATCTCTAAATGTACAGTCATATCCCTATAGAGAGAGGGTACAAAAAAAATGTATACACCCTTTAAGAAAGGAAAAAAACTACTAAAATTGTAAGACTTAATATATACCAATAACATTTATTATCTTTTATATTGTATCCTGTATCTCTTGTAATTGCAGGAGTCAAATGTGTCTTCTGTATGTTAATTCATCAGCTGCAATTTCAGGTTTCAGTTTATTAGAATACAGTAAAAACCTAAAGATACTTCTGACGCAGTAGGGGGATGCAAAATCCTATGGTTTTAGATGTATCCATCTAGCTATTCACAGTTGCGTGTATCTAATTTAGAAATGATTTTTTTGCTTTTTAGTGTATTCAGCTTAGCCATAGATAATGCAGTTCTCTTGGATTTTATCAGTCAGCAATATTTAAATTATCATACTAACATCAACAAAATACTTTGATAAGTATACAATTCAATTGCCGAAATCAGAAATAATAATAGAATATTAGCCACTGTCTAAGAATGTTAATCTGATGAGTCAGTTAAAAAGAGAAGGTCAGTTTAACAGAATGTTTTCAAAACTAATCAAGTTTTATTATGAGTATATCCTACATAAAATTATTAATTCCTTTTCTGAGTATATGGGCAGTCTTAGGGAATGTGCATATCCATGGCAGATATAAGAACATTGCTGCATTATTTGTGGTCAGAAAATGAATAATGTGTGCTGTATTCATATAGTGGAACACTGTGTTAATACAAAAGATGTAAAGTAGATGTAAAGTCTCCATCTTTTTAATGGCTGAATAGTATTCCATGGCACACATATACCACAGCTTGTTAATCCATTCCTGGGTTTGTGGGCATTTAGGTTGTTTCCACATCTTGGTGATTGTAAACTGAGCTGCAATAAACAGTTTAGTGCACATGTCCTTACGATAAGAGGATTTTTTTTCTTTTGGGTAGGTGCCCAATAATAGGATTGTAGGATCAAATGGGAGGTCTAATTTGAGTTCTTTGAGGATTCTTCATACTTCCTTCCATAAAGGTTGTATTAGTTTGCAATCCCACCAGCAGTGTGTAAGTGTTTCCTTACTTCCACATCCATGCCGGCATCTGCAGCTTTGAGACTTTGTGATGTGGGTGGGCCGTTCTCCCTGGGGTTAGGTGATACCTCTGGCTGGTTTTGATTTGTACTTCTCTGATGATTAAGGACAATGAGCATTTTTTCATGTTTGTTAGCCATTCACCTGTCTTCTTTAGAGAAGGTTCTATCCATGTCTCTTGCCCAGTGATACATGGGATTGTTGGGTCTTTTTTTGTAGATTAATTTGAGTTCTCTATAGATCCTAGATACCAAGCTTATGTCTAATTCACAATATGCAAATATCATTTCCATTCTAAAGGTTGTCTGTTTATACTTTGGTTGTTTCCTGAACTGTTAAGAAGCTTTTCAATTTAAGTCCTATTTGTTTATTTATGTTGTTGTTGCAATTGCCATGGAAGTCTTCTTCATAACATCTTTCTCCAGGCCAATATCTTCAAGTATTTTCCCCACACTTTCTTTGAGTATTTTTTTTTTATTTCAATAGATTTAAATCTGTTATCAATCTTGAATCAGTTTTTGTAAGTGGTGTGGGGCTAGTTTCACTCTTTTACATGTGGTTATCCAGTTGTCCCACCACCATTTATTGAATAGGAATTCTTTTCCCCAGTGTATGTTCTTGTTTGATTTATCAAAGATCAGGCTATAAGATGTTAGTTTCATCTCACGGTTTTCTGTTTGGTTCCAAATGTCAATGTCTCTATTTCTGTGCCAATACCATGCTGTTTTGATTACCATGACCTTGTAGTACAGCAGAAAGTCTGGTGGAGTGATAACCCCAACTTTGTTTTTATTGCTGAGAATTGCCTTGTCTATACGAGGTTTCTCCTGCTTCCATACAAAAGGAAGAATTATTTTTTCCAAATCTTGAAAGTATGATGCCAGTATTTTAATAGGGATTGCATTGAAATTGCAGATTGCTTTGGGTAGTATAGACATTTTCACAATGTTGATTCTTCCCAGCCAAGAACATGGTATGTTCTTCCATTTCTTAACATCTTCTGCTATTTCTTATGGTTTCTTAATTTTCTTTGTAGAGTTCCTTCACCTCTTTTGTTATGTATATTCCTAGGTATTTCTTTTTTTGGGGGGGGGAAGCTACTATGAAGAGAATTGTGTACTTGATTAGCATCTCATCTTGGCCATTATTGGCATATGCAAAGGCTGCTGATTCGTAGACATTGATAGACATTGCTGTATTTTTTTTTATCACTTCCAGGAGTCTTGTTGGTTGAGTCTTTGGGGTTCTCTAGATAGAAGATCATATCAGCAAATAGCAAGAGTTTGACCTCTTCTGCCCCTGTTTGGATGCCATTTCCTTTTCTTACCTGATTGTATTGGCTAGAACTTCCAGCACTATGTTGAATAGTAGTGATGATAGAGGACAACCTTGTCTGGTTCCATTTCCAGGTGGAAAAGCTTTCAGTTTTACTCCAGTATAATATGGGCTGGGGTTTGTCATGGATGGCTTCGATCAGAATAGGAAATACGCCACCTATGCCTGTATTCTTAAGTGTTCTAATTAGGAAAGGATGCTGAATTTTCAAATGCTTTTTCTACATCTGTTGAGAGAATCATATGGTCTTTGTTTTTGCTTCTGTTGATATGATGAATTATGTTATGGACTTGTGTATGTTAAACCAGACTTGCATTCCTGGGATGAAACCTATGTGATCATGATGAATGATTTTTTTTAATGTGTAGCTGTAATCTATTGGCTAGGATTTTATTGAGAATTTTTGCATCTCAATTCATTAAAGTTCTCCTGTTTAGTTGGATCTTTTCCTGGTTTTGGTATCAGGGTGATGTTTGCTTCAGAGAATGTGTTAGGGAAGATTCCTTCTCAATTTTTTGGAATAATTTCTGCAGTATGAGTATAAGCTCCTCTTTGAAGGTTTGATAGAATTCTAGTGTGAAGCCATCTGGACCAGGGCTTTTTTTTGTTGGGCGTTTGTTTGTTTGTTTGTTTTTCTTGTTTTTTTTTTGTTTGTTTGTTTGTTTTGACATAGTTTCACTTTGTCACCTTTGGTAGAGTGCTATGACATCATAGCTCATAGCAACCTCAAGCTCATGGGCTTAAGCAATTCTCTTGCCTCAGCCTCCCAAGTAGCTGGAACTATAAGTGCCCGCCATAAATCCCAGCTAATTTTATTGTTTCTTCAATCTCAGTTCTTGAAATCTGTCTGTTCGAGAGGTCTGTTTATTCTTGGTTAAGTTTAGGGAGAGGGTGTGATTCCAAGTATTGATCCATTTACTCCACATTGTCAAATTTCTGGGCATAGAGTTTCTTTTTTCTTTTTTCTTTTTTATTTATTTATTTTTGTTTTTGAGACAGAGCCTGAAGCTTTTGCCCCGGGTAGAGTGGTATGGCATCACAGCTCACAGCAATCTCAAACTCCTGGGCTCTAGCCATTCTCTTGCCTCAGCCTCCCAAGTAGCTGGGACTACAGGCACCTGCCACAATGCCCGGCCATTTTTTGGTTGTAGCTGTCATTGTTGTTTGGCAGGCCCAGGCTGGATTTGAACCTGCCAGCTCTGGTGTATGTGGCTGGCACCTTAGCTGCTTGAGCTATGGGTGCCAAGTCCATAGTGTTTCTTGTAGCACTCAGAGATGATCTCTTATACCTCTGTGGGATCTCTTATTTCCTCTTTATCTTTTCTGTTTGAGGTTATTAGAGATTTCACTTTTCTATTTTTAGTTAATCTGGCCAAAGGTTTATCTGTTTTATCTTTTTAAAAAACCAACTTTTTGTTTTGTTAATTTTCTGAATGAATCTTTTGTTTTCAGTTTCATTAATCTCTGATTTAATTTTGGTTATTTCTTTTCTTCTGCTGGGTTTGAGATTAGATTGTTCTTCTTTTTCCAGTTCCATTAGGTGGTTTGTGCATTTGTTGATGCACTCTCTTTATGTTTTTCAAATGTTCATGTAATGCAATAAATTTCCATCTTAAGACTGCTTTTGCTGTATCTCTCAGGTTGTGGTAACTTGTGTCTTTTTCCAGATGTTTTTAAAAAGAAAAAAGTTACAGATTTAATTGGAGTTTCCTTTGTGCCCCTTCACTTTCTTATTCCTACCCCATCCCTACTTCTCCCATCTGTGAGGGTTTCCTAAATTTGGAGTTCATCACTCCTATATTCAGTTATGTTATCATAATATGTGTAATATGGTATTATTTTCCATATTTTCATTGTTGATATACATTTACTCCTATTATATATTATTCTGCATTTTTTTCTTTTTATCCAATGCTATTTTTTTTTTTCTTGGAGACAGAGCCTCAAGCTGTCCCCCTGGGTAGAGTGCCCTGGCATCACAGCTCACAGCAACCTCCAAGTCCTGGGCTCAAGCGAGTCTACTGCCTCAGCCTCCCAAGTAGCTGGGACCACAGGCGCCCACCACAACACCTGGCTATTTTTTGGTTGCAGCCGTCATTGTTGTTTGGTGGGCCCAGGCTGGATTCAAACCTGCCACCTTAGGTGTAGGTGGCTGGCGCCTTAGCAGCTTGAGCCACAGGCACCATGCCTCCAATGCTATTTTTAAGATCTGTTCATAATGATACCCAGAGTTCTTTTTTTTTTTTTTTTGAGACAGGATTTCACTTTGTTGCCATAGACAGAAGTGCTGCGGCTTCACAGCTCACAGCAACCTCAAACTCTTGGGCTCAAATGATTCTCTTGTCTCAGCCTCCCAAGTAGCTGGGACTACCACCACAACACCCAGCTATTTTTAAAGACGAGGTCCCCATCTGGCTCAGACTGGTCTCAAACCTGTGAGCACAGACAATCCAATCGCCTTGGCCTCCCAGAGTAATAGGATTACAGGCGTGAGCCACCTCGCCCGGCCTGAGTTCTTACTTACTTTAAACTCCTGCATAGTTACATGAGCATGCTGTAATTGGGACATTCTGCCCCTGATAATACATTTCTTCCTGGCTTTTGGTATTACAAATAATGCGTCAGTGTGAATTCTTGGATTTCGCTAGACACCCGTGTGCTTAGATGTATTCTAGGGTGTATGCCTGGAAATCAAAAGTTACTTATAATGGCCTACTTAATTTAGGTTTTTTTAAAAATTCAAAGCATAAATACACTGTTAACATATGTCTTATTCTGGATTTAAAAATGTTTACATTTTCCATTTTTAAAAATCAAATGCAGAGACATACCCTAATTGTTGGATGATGAATAGGAGATGTTAAAACAAGATATGTCAGTACTATCCCTGGTTATATAATCTTACTTTTTTATTAGAATATTTTTGCTATATTGTCTTTTAATAATTTCACATCTGTACTCAATTTTGTAAAAGACTGCCGATATAGGTATAGTATTTGATCAGCACAAACAAATCTTTATGGTTATTTTGAGAGTAAAAGGAGATTATGAATGAAGATGTGCATTGTATTTTATAAATTACTGGGGAAATGTGAGATACTATTACTGAAGTAGTTGATTTTAATTTTTTTTATTAGATAATATAGTTGGATCTAACAAAAACAACACAATTTGTCCCGGTAAGTACTAATTCATATTATAAGAACTCATGCAAATTGTAAGCTTATTCCTATTCAGTTTATAATACATTTATACAAGGCTAAGAAAAACATACTTCAGCATTAAAAACAAAATCCAAGCATAGATCTCTTTTCTCCATTGTAAAGAAAAAATTCTACTTTGTCCAACATAAAAGATGGAAAACCAGTTAGAATTTTTTGTGTTCTGTAAGGTTACAGCTTGTTTTCTGACGTTTTGAGAGACATAGTCTGAAAGGTAAGGACTTAGTTCCTATATTTGAAATCTAGTAAACAAAGACTAGCTAATTCAGAATTGGTCTTTATGTCCACCTTATACTTACTGTTCATGAATCTGAATCTAAACTTTAGCTTGTACTTAGAGCGTCCCAGGTTTGAGCCTGGGTATTACTGAAGATAAGGGTGCTGTGGATACCTGGAATTCTCTTTCCTACGTGCTTGTCAAAGCACCAGGAAAGACAGTTTCAAATAAGGAAGCTATTCAGAGATTAGATTAGTGTAAAGATAGGGGTAATTTCTTATCCTAATGTAGAAAAATGAAATTCAGACATTTGTTTAACTCTGTAGATCATTGTTAAAAAGTCTTTTGTAAGTAAATTTTGGGAATTGAGAAAGAAGAATTGTTTTCAATGCTGAGGGACTAATTCACATTTTGGCTGTAATATTGACTGTTATGTAAATTGGTCTGGAGCAAACTCTTTTCTTGCATTGCAAGTATAATAGAAATGACCCTGGAAATACTGGAATGTTATTTTGTGCATTTGATGGCTATTCTTTATGTAAAATAATGCTGATTTTTTTCCTGATAGCATTGTAGTTTGACAAAATATTTATGTGTTTAATCTTGAAAAGTACAATAGTTGTACTAGATGATGTCAGTTTTTTATTCTGTAAGCCTCTGATTTTAGAATTTCTTCACAGTAGTATTTCTTTGTCTAAGGCATTTGTTGTAGGAGTGAATGATTGTCCTTATAAGCCCTTGACATACATTAAAATCTGATATTCAGGAAATAATTCAAAATTATTCTATAAATGTTTAAACCAAAGCTTCCTGAGAGAGGAGGGGGAAAAGCTAGTTTATTAGCCTCTCTTTGTGGATATCATATGAGTGGATGATTTAAAAATTATTGTTAAAAAATCTTGCCGTAGGCAGCACCCATAGCTCAGTGGGTAGGGCACCAGCCACATATACCAAGGCAGGTGGATTCGAACCGAGCCCAGGCCTGCTGAACAACAATGACAACAGCAACAACAACAACAAAACATAGCTGGGCATTGTGGCGGGCACCTATAATTCCAGCTACTTGGGAGGCTGAGGCAAGAGAATTGTTTAAGCCCAAGAGTTAGAGGTTGCTGTGAGCTGTGACACTACAGCACTCTACCAAAGGTGACAAAATGAGACTGTCTCAAAAAAAAAAAAAAAGCTTGCCAATAATCTTTTTTATTTGGTATTCAAATAGCCAAAAATATCTTTTGCTTTAAAAATGACTTTTTTAAAAGCTGTATTTTTCTTGAGAAATTTGGATTGAGCCACTTTAAGCAAAATGTTTGAGGTATTTTCTCTCCTGTGAACCTTTTTATAGATTTATTAATATTAATTATGATAGCACTTACTAAGGAAACATTGGCTGGGCACAGTGGCTCATACCCGTTATCCTAGCACTCTGGGAGGCCGAGGAGGGTAGATAGCTCACAAGTTCGAGACCCGACTGAGCAAAAGCAAGACCCTATCTCTACTAAAAATTAAAAAAAAAAAAAATGAAGCAAGAGGATCACTTTACCCCAAGATTTGTAGGTTGGTGTGAGCTGTGATGTGCCATGGCACTCTACCCCAGGCGACAGCTTGAGACACGGTCTCAAAAAAAAAAAAAGGAAACATCACCAAGAAAGCCTCACTGCAATGAATATTAACATATTTATAGGTTTTTATCTAGTTTTTCTTCCTGTTAATATCATTTAGTATTTTATACAAGTAAGAGTCTTAGAAAATATCTATCTGATAGGTAAAACTGACAATACACTTATGAAGAGTCTGCCTAAAAAATAAAAAATTAAAACATATAGCATTTTTGTTTAATATAGTAATGGAGGAAATGCAGTTTAAGCTTTGAGCTTAAATACAGGATGTAAGCTTTATTCTCTATTTAGATGTGTTCAATATTTTATTTTCATGAGATGACTTTCTTTTGTAGATAATTATCAAACAGCACAGCTACTTGCCTTAATTTTAGAGTTACTCACGTTCTGTGTGGAACATCACACCTATCACATAAAAAACTATATTATGAATAAGGACTTGCTAAGAAGAGTCTTGGTCTTGATGAACTCGAAGCACACTTTTCTGGCCTTATGTAAGTATAAAATATTTTAAGAAGCAACTTTTTTTTTTTTTAAGAAGCAACATTTTAATAGAAAATCTGAAGTTACCCATTTGAAGTTATGTATTTCTTTTTTAGAAGTATATATTCTGTTAATGAGATGATTATGAGATGTCCTACTCTTTTGTTTTCTGTTCTTATTTAAAAGGTTACACATTTTGATTCAATTAGCATAACTTCTGTAGTGGTAACAGTACCGTGTGTAGTGACAGCGTTTTTACTAACAGAACCAATCCTGCTACCATTTACATGTGCTTCATCAAACTGTCAGTTCATAGCGACTGTAATTATCCTTGTATTTGGTTCAGTGTTTATTTTTAGAAACTGTAAACTTCTCTTTCATCTTCACAGTTTCACTAGCAAATAGAGATAAAGAAACTGTCTTCTCCTCCAAAATGAAAAGACCTTTATGGTTTTATCATAACTAGAAAGATTATAGGTAAAATATGAACCAAGCAGATATGTGTCTATAATCCCAGTTATTCAGGAGACTGAGGCGGGGAGATCACTTGAAGCCCAGAGTTTGATACCAGCTTGGGCAACTTAGTAAGGCTTCACCTCTAAAAAACATACATATATACAGTAGAACCTCTCTGTAAGTTGGCCACCCAGAGACTGTCATAAACTGGCAGCATACAGAGGTGGTCAACATTAGGAACTAGGCCTACTGCACTGATAAGCGTATGTGACGTACGTCCAGTCTATGAAAATTAGGTCAATTTAAGAAGGTCGTCAACTATGGAGATTCTACTATGTACACACACACACACACACTCTCTTGCATAATTTAATGTGTAGAGAAAATGTTAATCTCTCAAACCTTCTTAATTTTTGTAGCCTTAAGGTAGCCAGTGTTATTTGCCTGCATTATTTCTTTTCACTCTTTTTTTTCATACTCTACGTACCAATTTACATAAACACATTCACACACACACATATATATGTATATATATATAGGGTTTTTTGTTTTTATTTTTACAAAAACAAGGTCATATTAACACATTTCTCACCCTTTTAATAATATTCTCGGTTAATTGATAGGTGTGAGTTTTTTCCTTAAATATGGCTGAGTAAGATTCCACAGTGCAGGCTTTTCCACACATTTTCCCACTGTTCTCCAGTGGATGGATTAGAAGGTTGTTTTTGCTTTTTTGCACTCCAAACCACATTGGTAAATAGCGTATAGCACATACATGTTTTAAGTACTAATTTAGTTGTTTTTTAGGATAGTTTGTTAATAACGAGATTGCCAAGACAAAATCCCTAGATGTTTTATGCTGTTTATTTATTTATTGAGATAGAGTCTTGATTTGTTGCCCAAGGTAGAGAGTGCAGTAGCTCACTGCAACCTCAAATTCCAGGTGATCCTCCAGCCTCAGCCTCCCAGGTAGCTGGGGTTACAGGTGTGTCCCACTATGCCTAGCTAATTTTTTCTATTTTGTTGGTAGAAATGGGGTCTCACTCTTGCTCAGACAAACTCCTGAGCTCAAGCAGTCCTCCTAGAGTGCTAAGATTACAGGCATGAACCTCGTATGCCCTCCCTGTTTTATACTTTTTAATATTAAACTTTAACTTAACAGCTGCCAGATTACTTTCTCAAAAGATTGAAAAAAGCACTTGACATTCTCCCTGTACTTGAGGTTACCACTTTTTAAAATGTTAGCAATCTTATGATGAAAATTTGGTATTCCATTTTTGTTCTAATTTACGTTGTCCCCTGGTAATATCTTTTCTTATTTTAATACAGTTTGCATTTTTGTTTGTGTATTGCCTATTGTCTTTTTCTTAGAGCTCTTCTATGTTAGAGATCTTAACAGTTTATGATATTTTGGAAGGACAAATGTCCTGTTTGCCTTTTGTCTTTGTATCTGCTGTTGTTTTCCATATACCTTTGCAAATTACTTATGGTGACAAAGACGTCTTCTTCTTCTTTCTATAACTTTTGAATTTTTTGTCGTAAAGTCTGTATCCTAAGATTATACAAATATTCTCATTTTTCTTCTAGTATTTTTATTATTTCCTTTTTTACATTTATAATACATGTAATTTAATACATCTGAACTTTGGTTTTGCATATGATTTGAAGTGAAGGTCTAGCTTTATTTTTTTCTAGATAGCCAACTGTCCCAATACCTTTATTAAACCATATTCTTCCTTCTGAACTGAATATCACTTTTATTAATGCAGTAAGTTAATATACATATTTGTGTTATTTCTGTATTGTCTGTAATTTCACCAAATGAAATAATGGCAGTATTTATCCTTATGCCATTGTAGTATCTCTATTGAGCCCCCCCCCCCACTTTTCTTTTTCATAATTTTCTTGGTTGTTCTTAGACAGGTGTTCTTCCACAATAACTTTATCCAGTTCTGGGCAGCACCTGTGGCTCAGTGGGTAGGGTGCCAGCCCCATATACCAAGGGTGGCAGGTTCAAACCCGGCCAAGGCCAAACTGCAACAAAAGAATAGCTGGGCATCCTGGCGGGTGCCTGTAGTCCCAGCTACTCAGGAGGCTGAAATAAGAGAATTGCCTAAGTCCAGGAGTCGGAGGTTGCTGTGAACTGTGTGATGCCCCAGCACTCTACTGAGGGTGATAAAGTGACACTCTGTCTCTACAAAAAAAAAAAAAAAACACTTTATCCAGTTCATCTTGATTAGAATTATTTTATGTTAATTTTAGAAGGATTAATGTTCTCATGTTTTCCTACTTGACCTATAGTGCTTTTTGATGACTTCAGAGTATTCCTCTTAATATGGCTATATCATAATTGAGTGAATTTCCAGTATTTGTTTATATTGTTTCAGAATTACCTTTATTGTAAACCGTGCTGTTGTAACTATAGCTTTGTGTGTCTATCAGTTTACTTTCTAGCAGTATATGAGAATGCTGTTCGCTCCCACCTTTGTCAGTACCTCAGTCTTCTTACGTAAGCTGTTTCTTACCCTGCCACAAAAGGAGGTGAATGACTTCTTCTATCCACATAGAAGACTGGAATGAGAGACTGACTTATAAAATCAGAAGCCCTGTATTTTAAAGATTTGGCTATTGTTATCTGTAGAATAAATTAAATTAGAGGAAGAGCCAACAAACACTAAAATATTAAAATTACAGTCCTTTATGTTCCATAAATTTCAACAGTAATATTGCCAACATTATTTAGCTAGGGAAAACTGTAGTTAAAAGGGAGATTTCTTTTTAGTATTCTGAAATATGTATTTTACAAATATAGTCTGATCTGCCACAAGGTATGTTCACCTAGACACAATACCTCATGATCAGGTGGTAAGGAAGAGAATGATGTCATTTTGATGTAGAGGTAGTGTTGGTTCACAAATGATTTTTCCAAGACAAGGTGGGAGGTAGAATAATGGGGACTGGAACTGTAGCCTTCATCAGAGAAGTAAAACAACTTTAAATCTCCTATTATGTTACTGGCATCAAGAGTACAGTTGGCTGTGTTTTCTGAAAATTAAAAAGACCCATCTGTCTCTAAAGTTCCCTCCACCAGAGAAGCAAGGCAATCTTGGCTTGTGGCAGCTTGCACCACTTCTGTGCCCTCACGGACAGCTCCTTACTGATCCTGAGCTGTCTTCACTGCATTGTCTCAGCATATCTCTAAGTCCTGTGGGGGGGGCCGGGGGGTGGTATGTGTTTTTTAATCCCTTTGCTGTGGAGCTGTCTCCCTGGGGAGTTCTCCCAGATCCTAATTATCTTTTTTTTTTTTTTTTTGCTACAAAGTTGTGTAAGTTTTGAGCAGGCTTCCCCCGCATGCTGTTTTTCCCAAAGCCCAATTATTTTAGGTGTACAGTTTTGCTTTTTTTTTTTAGAAGAATGTATACATTGCTTTATATGTTCTTTATATTTTAAAATGTCTATATAATGATATTAGTAAGATCATCAATTTACTCCCCTTAATATTTTTTCCCTATGTTATATTTTAATTAGGTGCTCTTCGCTTTATGAGGCGGATAATTGGCCTTAAAGATGAATTTTATAATCGTTACATCACCAAGGGAAATCTTTTTGAGCCAGTTATAAATGCACTTCTGGATAATGGAACTCGGTACAATCTGTTGAATTCAGCTGTTGTTGAGTTGTTTGAATTTATAAGAGTGGTAAGTTTGTATAAAGACCTTAGTAATTATATCTAAAAGAATTAATTATATGTAAAGAAGTAATTATATAAAAATAAAAGAATTATATGTATGCAAAGTGATTTCTTGATTCCTCTTTTTCTCCTGAAATTGTTTATTCTACATGTCTTAGAATCTATTTCTAATAAACTGAAATTTTGGAAATCAGTTACTTTTTTATTCTTATTTGCCACATGGTTATAGTTTAGTAATGTTAATATTTTAAAGTATGAAATTCAGCATAGCAACCCTTATTTATTCACTCATTTCAGTTCCATTTTTATTGACCAAATGTTTGTTTTAGGATCACATTTGGCATATGTAGACATTTCAGTCAAGCATACTTATGTATTTGTTCTTTTAGGAAAACATGGTTTTCTGTTGTAAGGGTAGGAATTAAGAAATGAATAGAAAGATTGAAAAATAATCCTGTCAGTAGACATTGATATAAAAAGCATAAAAGGTGGGATAGAATCCTAGAATTTTAAGTTGATGAGACCAAGATATTAGGACTAATCCAACTATTTTATTTTACAGTTGAGGAAATTAATATATCTAAAGTGATTAAGTGACCTATTCAGGGGCATCCATTTGGGTGGTAGCATAGTCAGGGCTTGAAGCTGTATTCCAACTCAGTTTTAGGCACCAAAAGATTTGTCATAAAAATATTTGGTGAGAGCCCTATGTGAATAACTGTGGAACAAAGACAACAAATTTACATTTCTTACATATACACACTGAAATCATTCCACTGAATAAATGGCCACGTTTGCAAGGAACTTGATAAAAGTCAAAGCTAAAAACTCACTGCCTATTCTTCTTGTAAGTCAGATTTCTGTTGACACAGTATTCTCATATGAAGATTGTTTGGCTGAAAGGATGAAGAGGGTGGAAGTACATAGAAGGGACCTGGTTAACTAGCTTCCTAGATACCTGAATCCAGGTTCACAGGGTACTGTTCTAGTGAATCAGAACTTTTTATATTTTTATAAATGTTATTCTTTAGTTTGTTAAATTTTATACTTTTCTCCTTTAAATTTTGGTGAGATAATAAAATGAATTACAAGGTTATTGGCCCATCCCTCATCCCGTGATTGAATTATGTTTTTCTGAGAATAAATTTGAGCAGTTGATAGGTATACACTGAATCCCAAAACTTACCTTTTTGTTCCGTATATAACACAGGACCATTTTACTTAAGTTAACTGATTTTTCTCCTTTGTATATATTTTTATTATCCAAGAGAACTAGGTTAAAAAACTTAAAATCCTTAATGGAACCAGACTGTGGCATATCAGAAAAGTTGCCTGTGCATTTCTTACTGTCAGCTAGTTTATTTCACAAAGATTATACCACTGGATGACTGCGGAAATAGAGGAGTGGAATTTCAGGGAGTTTATCAGATCTGTATATGTAGTATAGTTGGAGGAAGCTGTGCTGCTTATTATTAGTTATGTAAGGACATCCCTTTCTTGTTTTCTTCCACTTCTGCTTAAGACAATCTCTTCAGCAGGAAAGACTTTAGAGTTCTGCCTTCAAGCCTTTGCCAGGCTCTGTATGTGGCTTTTAACATCTGCCCTCTAACTAGCTGTGTGCCCTTGACCAAACCATCCAGCTTCTCTCAAAGGCTCAGTTTTGTTTTTCTGTGATATGGGGTTAATAAAACCTATTTTATAGAATTGTCATGAGGATCAAATGAAATTGTATGTAAAAGTGCTTTTTCAATTGTGAAGTACTATATAAATGCAAAAAATTCCGCCAACAGAGCTCCGGTAAATTGCTTCTCCTTTTTTTTTTTTTTTTAAAGTTTTCATTGTGGTACTACGTAAAGAAACTAGGGCATTTACTTTTGGAAGGTGATTTTTGGAAAACCTTTTTTGATCAGCTTTGAAGCAACAAAAAATAAGTTTTTTCAATTTGTCTCCTAACAAGGGTCGCATTATATTTCAAATGTAAATTTTGTGCTTCCACAGGAAGATATCAAGTCTCTTACTGCACATATAGTTGAAAACTTTTATAAAGCACTTGAATCGATTGAATATGTTCAGACGTTTAAAGGATTGAAGACTAAATATGAGCAAGAAAAAGACAAACAAAATCAGAAACTGAACAGGTATTGTTTAATTATTTATTGCATTTGTAGCCTACAAAATTGTGTCCGAAATTATCTGTAGTTTAGATCTTAGATGCAAAATTCACTAAGGGATTTTCTTTCCATCACTAGATCGCACAGGGTTACATAGAGGAGGCTAGAATGTCCTCTTTTCCAGGAATCCTCTATGTGAAGAATTACTACTCTGTATTGCAGTTCGAGATGAAGTTTTAGTTTAATTTAGAACATCCTAAACATTTTGGGGCATTCTCTGGCTGTATATTCATGACTGAGGTAATTTTGATATAAATTATGCTAAGTTAAAATTACTTCAGTTCTCTTGGTTATAAATTATTCCCTCAGTTTAATCAGACTATAAACTTTAAGTCTTTACTCAATATTTGTAATATATTTCTTACAGTGTACCATCTATATTGCGTAGTAACAGATTTCGTAGAGATGCAAAAGCCTTGGAAGAGGATGAAGAAATGTGGTTTAATGAAGATGAAGAGGAGGAAGGAAAAGCAGTGGTAGCACCAGTGGAGAAATCCAAACCAGAAGATGATTTTCCAGATACCTATGAAAAATTCATGGAGACTAAAAAAGGTATTAAGATTTTGAATTTGTGCATAGTTTATCCCCTTATTTAGAGCAGAAATTATTCAGTTGCTTATGAAGGTTTGATCATAGTTTTTACAGCAAGAAAGATGAACATTACGTGTTTTATGAATATGAATGTCACTTTAAGACTTTGTACTTTTTCCAAATCTATTTAGAAATTCTTTTCATGTTTAAAATGTATTTCTCAAAACTTGCCGTTTTGTGATACTGTTCATTAGCTGTTTAGAAATTGCATTGTCTACTTATACTTTGCCTTATTGGAACAGTCTTAGCTTTATTTCTATAGTAATATCTCCAGTAATAATAGAGACCATGTAGAGCCATGGAAACCTTCAAGAGTTTGCTGCTTGAACCCTTTATAGCTAAGGAAACTGAGCTCAAAGATGTAATTTTGCTATTTGAAATTTTTAAATTATTATAAAAGTTATATATAGTATCAAAAGAAGTGAAAAAGTAAAATTTCTCCTGGCTTTCGAACATGCTTAACTTGTTTTTTAATAACTGTTTATTTATTTATTTATTTTGAGGCTAAGTCTCGCTCTGTTACCCTGGGTAGAGTCCTTTGGCATCATCATAGGTCACAACAACCTCAAATGGCTGGACTTGAGCAATCCTCCTGCCTCAGCCTCCCGAATCGCTGGGACTATAGGTGTGCACCACTATGCCTGGCTAGTTTTTTCTGTTTTTAGTAGAGACAGGATCTCACTCTTTCTCTGCTCGTCTCAAACTCCTGAGCTCAAGAAGTCCAACCATCTCTGCCTTCCAGAGTGCTAGAATTACAGGCATGAGCCATGGCACCTGGCTGAACTAATCACTGTAATTGTGGCCCAGAGCATTACCATTTTTTGGAATACTGTCCTACATATATCATTTAAACATTTAATAAAAACTTGTATCTTGAAAGACAGAAGTCTTTCCTGAATTTATTATATATAAGTCTGTAATTTTGAGTATGACATTTTCTAAAGGCAGTTCTCATCAGAGAATTAATTTCATTGATTTATTACCTTTTCCTTGAAACTCTTGTTCCCAGCCTCACGCATTTTACATTCATTAATGCAATAAGTTCTATTTGCTTTAGTTTAGGGGAGCAGTAGCCTATTAAAATGTCCCAAGGAGTAGGTATCTTTAGTAAACAAATTCTTCTACCTTCATGCATTACAGGTACTTCCCCAACTATTGTCAAAATTGAGGCTTTAAAGCCATATTTGAAATACTGTATCCACTGTTGAGTGCCATGCTGTTGAGAGTCATACAGAAAAATATTAGCAACCAGATGTTAAACGGGACTGGACACCTATGTCATAAAAGAAACAGAAAAAGGAAACTGGAATATTCAGGAAATAAGAGACTTACAGATTTGATCATTGTCTTTTGTCTTTTGGTATTCGAAATAATGACTTTTGGGAGAAAGTTTTAGGTGCTAACAGTGAGTGGAGAAGTGTAGGGTCAGTGAGTGGAAGCCAAAAGGAGACAATAAATGGGAGTTTCAGGTAGTTAATGAGTCCTCGGAAAGTATACGTTAGATGCCACAATGTACACTTCAAGCATAAGCTGGCCAATTTTGTTATATTTCTCTTAAGGTTCTTTCTGTTACAGAAATGTCTAAGATTCTAGCTAATAAAGACTTACCCACTGTACGCATCATGCTTTTTTAGCTCTTAGAAAGCAAAGACAGTGTTTTATAGGTTTTTAAATTGTTCTTTTTAGATGCTTTGGCTTAGGAATACTTATAGTTCAAATTTTATTTTCACTTTAGCAAAAGAAAGTGAAGATAAGGAAAACCTTCCCAAAAGGACATCTCCTGGTGGCTTCAAATTTACTTTCTCCCACTCTGCCAGTACTGCTAATGGAACAAATAGTAAATCTGTAGTAGCTCAGACACCACCAGCAAGTTCTAATGGGTCCTCTTCCAAAACTACAAACTTGGCTACATCAGTAACAACCACCAAGGTATGTAAGACATCACTGTACGTAAACAAACCTTGCTTTTTCCATCTGTAAAATTATTTCATGCTTACTGAAGAAAATTTGGATAATCGGGCAGCACCTGTGGCTCAAGGAGTAGGGCGCTGGTCCCATATACCAGAAGTGGCAGGTTCAAACCTGGCCCTAGCGAAAAAAAATTGCAAAAATAAAAAAATAAATAAATAATAAAATAAAATAAAATAATTTAAAAAAAAAGAAAATTTGGATAATCAAAACAATTTCAAAGAAGGAAAAAAGTTGCATATTATTATCAGAGACTATGCACACATATTATAGATTGGATTTATCTTTGGGTATATGAGTTTATCTAGCTCTTAATAGATGTCTATATAAATACAGTTTTGCATCCTGCTTTTATTATTCATTATAAGAATTTTTCTGTTATTGAAACATTATTGATGTCACAGGGGTGTCCAATCATTTTTCTTCTCTGCCATACATGGGAATAAGAGTTTTTGGGCCACACTTGAAACATACAAACACTAACAAGAACAGATAAGCAAAACAGTCTTCACATAATCTGGCAGGTTGGACACACCTGGTAGAATTTCATTTTATTTAGTTGTATCATAATATAGGGTGTCCATAAAGTTCATGTGTGATTTAAAATAGTTTACTGCATTTTAAATTACTTTCTTGGATAGATAAGTGGTACAGTGTCTTCACACATTGTTAAATTCCTCTTCAGAAAGTCTGTACCGATTTATGGAGTCTCTTGAGTGTGCTTGGCTCAACAACAGTGAGCACTGAGCAAGATGCTGCCACATGTCAACACAAACGAGCTCTGAGACACTGATATATCACAGTTATGAACCCTCACCAAGTTGTTAGGACATTGCTGCCAATGTAAGGTACACAGTAGCAAGTTCATGAACTTACCAGACCTTTTACAATGACAGCTCTGATGGCTGTTCCTGAAAGAGTTCCAAAATTGCTTTGATGGGTGGATTAGACACTGGTGTGGGTGCATAGCTTCCCAAGGGGAGTACTTTGAAGATGATGTAGTGATACTCAGCAGTGAGGCATGTGCCACTTTTTCTACAGTGAGTTCATGATCTTAATTGTCAGACCTCATGCATGAGCTTTTCTTTTTTTTTTTTAATCAAAGTTATATGTGCCCTTATTTTCAAAAGTCAAGTATTACTGAAAGGCAAGTTTATATTAGAAAAAAATATCAATCTTCTGAAACAGAAAAGGGCAGAGCCAAGATTTGAACCCAAACAATATAACCGCATGGCAGATATTCTTAATGTAATTTCCACAAAGATAGTTTTGAACCCTTCTGTTTTATTACCTCTATATTGTTTGGCTAACTGTAGACTTAATTTATTAACTTCTTACTATGGTAAATGAGAAATTAGCTTTCATATATGCGCACATAAATGCCCCTTACCACACCCTCACTGTTAGTTCTCCCTATATCACAATTTTTTATTAAAATAATAATTGATAGTTTCATAGTTATGACAATATATTATTTATTTTTCCTACTCTTTTTTAAAATTGTTTTCCTTACAACTTTCCACCTTTTCTAGAATAAATAATTGTGTTTTCTTTGTTGTAGTACTTATGTGCTTCTTGCTGATTCTTTGGTACCTCTCAAGTTAGTTTCCATAAACTCCCTCCTTGGAGACATCTCTCTTGAAATCTCGTCTCCTATCCTGTTCCAGTCTAGATCGGTTGTTCTCCCAACGTGCTACACATGTGTTGTCTAGAGGCTTCTTGGTCATCATCCTGTGTTTTCCGTTAGCCTGTCAACTCCTTTGCACTGTTTGTTTCCTGGATTCTCTGTCTTCAGTTCTCTTGATTTCCTATCTCATTTTGGTGGAGCACATTTTCCAATAGCTTACTGAGAAAAGAATCCCATGCGAGGTGAAATTTGCATGTATGAAAATGACTGTATTCAGACCTCACACTCAATTGGCTAACTGAATGCAGACCAGATTGGAAATAATTTTCTCTCAGAAATTTAAAGTTAATTGCTGTCAAGAAGTCCAGAGACATTCTTATTTCTAATAATTTTCTGTGTGATTTTATTTTCTTCTTCCTGGAAGCATATGGAGTTTTATCCCTGTCTGTGAAATTTTATGTTGATATGGTTTGGGAATTCTTCAGTTAAATTGTCATGTCCCTTTAGTTTCACTATCACTCATTGCTGTATGGAGCCTTCTGGGTTGATTTTGTAATTTTCATAACTTTTCTCTCCTATTACTGTTTATTTTTTTCTATTCTGTTTTCTGTGATATTTCTTTGAGTTTTTAATTTATCTTTCCAGATAATTCTTTACTATTAAATGAGCAAAATGAAGTCCAACACATATTTCATCCTTTTTGACACAGTAGGTTACAAAATACATTTGTTCTATGTCTTTTTTAGAGACAAGGATAAAAACAGTGATTGTTCTTGAAAAACAGATTAATTTTTCCATCACTGTAGTTATAAAAAATTTGAAATTAAGGACTGTGCCTGTGGCTCAAAGGAGTAAGGTGCCAGCCCCATATGCTGGAGGTGGCGGGTTCAAACCCAGCCCTGGCCAAAAACTGCAAAAAAAAAAAAAATAGAAATTAAGCAAGATAGAAGTTCACAGAAGTAAAGCACCAATTTTGTTGGCTCAAGCTTCTTAACAAACTGTGACCACATTCCTAGGTGTTAGCAGGTTATCAGTGGCCCTTTAGTTTAACCAGTTTCACCTTCAATGTTAATTTGTATAGTTAAAGACTTGCAAGACATTAGCTTAGCTACTAAGGAAAGAAAATAATTTCTTTAAGATATGAATGCTATAAAGACATAAAATACTTTAGTTGTATAGCTAAAAAACATGCATATTTTCCATAAGGAAAAATACTTATAAAATCAGAATAAGAAGCCATTGGCTAAAATTAAACATTACTTTTGCCACAGATACACATTTGAGAAACCAGCATCTTGCTTTTTCATGTAACATAATTATATAGATAAGCTCTCCATATCAGGACACTAAAAAATTTCATGCATATAATTTAAAAGTGTGGCTATACCATAACTTACATAACTTTACTGATGGGTATTAAAGTTGTTTCCAGCCTTTTATAGTGTGATCACCTACAGACATTATTTCACACACAAGGGTATTTCTGCACAGAACATGGAGGTACAGTTTTGATATTTACTTCCAAATAAAAATGTTCAGTAAAGTAGGAAAAATCAGTAATTTCTTAACTTGATACACATGTATGATACCAAGAAGCTAAGAAATACCAGAAGCATTCCCACTAAGTCACGAACAAGACAAAGATGCCCCTTTTGTGCTCCTGTTACTGCTATTATTTTAACCATTATTCTAGGGTTACTGGCCAGGGCAGGTAGGTGAAATGAAGAGATTAAGTTGTGAAAATCAGAACATTCTCAGCACCCGTAGCTCAGCAGTTAGGGTGCTGGCCACATACACCGAGGCAGGCAGTGTGAACCCGGCTGGGCCTGCTAAACAGCAATGACAGCTGCAACAAAAAAGCAGTTGGGCATTGTGGCGGGCACCTGTAGTCCCCACTACTTCGGAGGCTGAGGCCAGCTCGCTTAAGCCCAAGAGTTTGAGGTTGCTGTGAGCTGTGACACAACAGCACACTACTGAGGGTGACACAGTGAGACTGTGTCTCTAAAAATAAAAAATCAGAAAGAACATACATAAACTATCACTTTTCCTGATGATTTAAAAAACTTCTTAAAGTCATGTTTCAGTAAGATCCATTTTTTGAGTAAAAGATGATTTTTTTAGTTCCATCTCCTTTTTGTTAATATGATGGATTATATATTGCATATATAAATAAATGTACCTTACATATATAATTATGTATTATAGCTTCCTACCTTTTTTGATGTGGAAACACCCTTCCTACCTTAGAGTAAATTCTACTTGGTTATAAGTTATTTCTTTTATTGTTTCAGAAAAAAATTTTCACTGTCCCTGCATAGGTTATTGTTAATTGTCATTTGTTTGATCTTTTATTCGTATTAGAAACTTTACACAAGTATCTGGTGATCCTTGGATTTTCTTTCATAGGAAAAAACAAGGCAGGCCAAAACAATTTAATGGGGAAAGAATAGTCTTTTCAACAAATGATGTTACAACTAGATACCAACATGCAAAGAATGGAGTTAGGCCCCTATCTCACACCATATATAAAATTCAACTCAAAATGGATAAAAAGACTAAATGAAAAGCTTAGAAGTATAAAACTCTTTGAAAACAAAAGAGACATAAACCTCCATGACCTTGGACTAGGCAATGATTTCTTAGAGGTGACACCAAAAGCACAAGTCAGAAGAAAAATTGGAATTAATCAAAACTTGAAACTTCTGTGCTTCAAAGGATACTACTAAAAACTGAAAGGACAAAATAAAGACAAGCCAGAAAATGGGAGGAAATCATTTCTCTGACAGGGAATTAGTATGCAGAAGATATAAAGAACTCATACTCAATGTGACAGCGTAGTTTTCAAATGGGCAAAGGATTGAGTAGACATTTCTCCAAAGAAGATAATACAAATGGCTCATGTAAGCACATGAAAAGATACTGAGCACATTTAGTCTATTACGGAAATGCAAATCAAAACCATAACATGGTACCACTTCACATGTTCTAATTATAATAAAAAAGACAAAAACAAGTGGTGACAAGGATGTAGAGAAATGGCAACCCACACATATTGCTAATGAGTGTAAAATGGTGCGGCAGTTGTAGTACAGTCTGGCAGTTCCCCAGAAAGTTAAACAGACTACCATGATGCGTAGTTCTAAGCATAATTGACACTTCTTGGTAACTTGCTATCATCTTCGTGAATGTCAAGTTTAATACCTTTTTATACTGTAATTATTTCTTCTTTCCCCTCTCTTCCATTTTTTTGTTCTTAGAACCCAAATAACAGAAATAATAATAATGGTGGTAATAGCAGCTAATAGCACTTACTGAACACTCACTATATATCAAGCACTATGCCAAAGTGCTTTTATTTTTTTTCAGTTTTTGGCCAGGGCTGGGTTTGAACCCGCCACCTCCAGCTGGTGCCTTACTCCTTTGAGCCACAGGTGCCGCCCCAGAGTGCTTTTACATGTTTTGTTTTCAATGTAATTTTTAAGGGCCAGCCAAGGTGTCTCATGCCTGTAAATCCTCCTTTGGGAGGCCAAGGTGGGTAGATCACCTGAGCTCACAGGTTCAAGACCAGCCTAAGCCAGAGCGAGACCTCGTCTCTAAACATAGCCAGGTATTATGGCAGGTGCCTATAGTTCCAGCTACTTGGGAGGCTGAAGCAGCCAAATCACTTAAGCCCATGAGTTTGAGGTTGCTGTGAGCTGTGATTTCACAGCACTCTACCAGTGACTACAAAGTGAAACTCAAATGTTTTTGTCTCCAAAAAAAAAAAAAAAAGGAATGTTTAGACTAGTTCAGTGAGGTCTAAGTACTTCTGTGCCAATTGTACAGATGAGAAAATTAGCCACAGACACATTAAATCACTTTCCCAAAGTCTTTTAGATAAAAAGTGGTGGCACTGGGGGCAGCACCTGTGGCTCAAAGGAGTAGGGCACCGGCCCCATATACCAGAGGTGGTGGGTTCAAACCCAGCCCCGACCAAAAACTGTAGGAAAAAAAAAAAGTGATGGCACTGGAAGCCAGACTACAATCAGTATATTCTTAACAATTCAGCTATACTGACTCTTGCGTATCAAGACTTAAAAATGTGTGATTAACCTGAGAAAGGAGGATTCTCACGTGAATATGTTTTATTTATAAAACTTACCATAGTTCACAGACTGATAACTTGTGTCTAGCCTCTCAGAGGCCTTTTTTAGTTGACTAATATTTTGTTTGTTTTGGTTATATTCTGGTAATGTTAATGCCAGATAACTGGGTTGTTAGGGTATGAAGATATGAGTTGTGAGTTACTTCAGTTGTATTTGTTTATGCCCTCGAGGTCTGAAGGGTTTGAACTGAATAGTGTTTATAGTAACCCTCTTAACCTGTAGAACATGTGTATAAATTTTCACAGGATTGGTTCAGAATGAATGCAATCCTGTGAACATGTGTAATTTTCTGGAGAGTCCCCAGAGCTTTAATAGTATTTTCAAAGGGGTCCATTACTCATGAAAGGCCAAAACCCTGAATTTACTTCCTTATTTTTCTTTGGTTATGGAGAGCTAGTCCTGAATTTTTTAGTCACTATTTTTTAGGAACCATTTCATGTGTTTGTTATAGTCAGCCATTTATACTGTTGTTCCAAAAGCAGAATTAATACAATGATGTGTACTTTGTATTGACATACATACATGGTAAACAGAGACTACGGGGAGACTTCTTGCTACTGGTTGTTACCTTCTCTAGAGTAAAATTAGCCAAATGAACTCAGTTCATATCCAGGGTCCTTTCCAACTTCCAAATGTTACTATTCTTTGTTAGTCCTACTATTTGGAAAAAGTCATTTTCCCACAATAAAATTTGCTCACATGAGTTCTAAGATATCATTAAAAATCTAAGAACCAAATAGAAAAGTTGAAGGTTACTGAGAGTGCCACCAGTTCCTTAGTAAATATTCATTAATTTCAAGCAGTTTTATCAAATTCAAATGTGATAATTTCAGATAATATGATTAATTTAAAAAATGATTTCTGACATCTTTAAAAGTGACTAGTTGTACTATGTTACATGTTTAAAAGAATTTTTTTTTCAATTCTTCAATAGGGAAGTTTGGTTGGCTTAGTGGATTATCCAGATGATGAGGAAGAAGATGAAGAAGAAGAAACATCCCCCAGGAAAAGACCTCGTCTTGGCTCATAAAATATTTATTGGGGGACCCTCAACTTGTGGTCGTACTAAAATGTTGTTGCAACTGTTCAATGAGCTGAAAATCTGAATAAGAAAGCTTTCTCACTTGAACTTATAAAAATATACAAGGAGTAGCAAAAGACACTCAGCGTATCAGCTAGGAGAGTTTAGTTCTGTAAAAAAACAGGCTTCCCGGGAACTTGATTGCTTGCTAGTAATTAAGGGGTTTGCCTTTCAGGCTGTCCAGAAAAAAAGTTAATAACCAGAACCTGGGAGATAGCTTCTCAGCAAGGAAAGTCTCAGGTCAGGTTTTGGGATGGTTTAGGGAAAGGGAAAGGTTGATAAAATAATATTAATGCAGGGTTGCTCCGTGGGAGTATCTAATGTAGAAACAATTATAAAACTTCAGTTGCAAACTCAATAACATTACTTGTATAATGGTGCTGGCCATACTGTTGTTTTAATCAGTTGCCTCTTTTTAAAATAATTTTTATGGAAAACAAATTCAGCTATCATAAAAAATAAAGTTAAGCTGTTGGGACCATTTCTTTAAACATTTATTGGAAATTCAGCCTTTTAGATTAGTTGGAAGGAAGCACACCCTGTATTACAGTACATGTTGAGTTTTCTGTCCCAGGAATTTTCTGTATGTGTTTTGATGAAAACCTGGATTCAAAATGGAGAGTTTTGTTAATATGTTAAAATTCAGCACTTTTAGAGTAACAAGAGACCGAGAATCAGTACAATAGTATTCCAAAATGATTTTCTCTAGAATCTTCAGAAGAGTGGATAGAGCAGAAGGCTTTCAGCAACCTACCATTTTAGTCTTTTGTGGGAGACACTTTGAAGTAACTTTCTGCTATGTTAGTAAAGTGGTCTCTTCCTCTGCAGAGCTGAAAGCAAGTTTTAAAGTGTAATTTATAAAGACTAATAAAGAATAGTGCTGAGTTAAGTGGCATTTAACATCTAGAAGCCATTTGATCCAAGAAGTTATTCAAGTCAAAGTCAGCATGCAGCACGTGAAGCTTTTCCATGAACAAGGGTATAATACGTATGAAAGCTGCTTTTTAAAAAAGAGTAAAAGCACATTCCATGTTCGTAAGTGACTTTTAAAAATATTGAGGCAAATAGTTAAGAGGTTTTATTTTTAGGACAGCAAGTTAACTGTAAATATTTTAATGTTAGTTTGCTCATCTATGATCTGAGATCATGCTGAAGTGAGAACAGTGCCCCTAAACTACAACTCAGTGGATTGGGGAAAAAAATAGTAAGTCCAGCTACAATCTTTAGATCACCCTTGTAATGTGTTATGGGTCCATTTTTCCTGGAGTAGCTTAAACTGAAGCAGTTTCCCTGTTTTGGAGATTTTGTAGTTAATTTTAATTTTGGCTATTGTTTGGAAAAGATGGGCTGTCTGTGTAGATATGAAGTATAGTTTTTCCATAAAACAGATGTTTATTTTGTATTAAAAATACCACTGTACTTGTTTTACACCATTTGTATACATGTGGTGATATTAATGCTGAACTGTAAAATTCAGGAATTAAAATGTGACCCTGTAATTCCATGATTGCTGCTTGTGTTTGGTTTGTTGTGAATATAAATCAACTCCATTCTTATAAAAGTTCATAAAATTATCCATAGGTACTTGTTATGAGCCACTAGTTCATATAAAACCTGAATAAAAGAATTCTAAACAAATGAGGGTCAACTGTACTTTAAATATCACTGATTACTTTTAGATGGTAAGCCTTGAGCAAATCTCAGCACCAAAGGATCACAGCATGGAGTTGTTCTTACCACTGTGAGTAAAGGTATACACAAATAAAAAGACCTTCCACCTCAAAGGGCAAGTGACTCAGGATATCAAGATCAGTAAAGTTACCATATAAATATGCTTACTTTCAAGCAAGTTTTATCAAGACATTTCTCTATTTACATTTGTTATTAAATAACTTGAAGTTCCGATAGGACTATTTCCTTACCGAAAAACTGCCATAAATCTTAAATATTTGGGGGGGGGGCATACTCTCTTTCTGGGGCCTAGGCTGGATGCAGTGGCATCTTCCATAGCTCACTACAACCTCAAACTCCTGGGCTGAAGTGATCCTCCTGCCTCAGGAGGCTGAGTAGCTGAAGCACCTGACTAATTTTCCTACTTTTTTGTAGAGAAAGGGTCTTGCTCTTGCTCAGGCTGGTCTCAAATCAAACTCCTGGCCTCAAGCAATCCTTCCACCTCATTTCCAAAGTGCTAGATTACATGTGTGAGTCACCAAGCCCACCCAGGAACCTTTTCTTAAGGCAGAAATGTGAATGTTTTCTTGAAATATAGGTAACAATGTTTATGGTACATATGTTTACCCACAATATGAGAACAAGATTTAAAATATTCCTTGAATACGCTGTCTTAAATGACTACTCTCAGGTAGATCTGGGTTTTTTGTATCTTTACCTTCACTCAGCAAAGCAAGCCAGAACCCACATTTGTATGCCTTAGGTTCTCTTAAAATGGTATCTGTGAACATGTATCCAATATAAAGTCGATATTTTTAATAAAAAATTACATGAAACAGATTGCTGTGTTTTAATCACTAGCTTTTCCTCTTATCCACATGATGAAAATTTAGCAAATACAGAATACTAGTTTTTCGATAGGTTGAAGGTTGCAACTATGAAATGAGCACATCACTGAAATGAGCACATTAAAAAAATAATTTTGGCATCCCTTTTTAAAAGTATATAATTGTATATTTAAGGAGATAAAATGCAATCATAAATTAAACCTCACTTGTCCTATAACTAGAAAAGGGTAGGTGTGGGCTGTGTCCTGTATACAAATCTAAATGGTCAATGTAAAATCCCATCTTACAACTGCCCAAGATACCTACTCTTGACTAGATTGCTTCAGAGGTGGCTGGTACTGTGTCCAGCCACAACCACTCTAGCCTATATCCTAGTTTCCATACAATAAAATTGAGAATTTTGATCATTTTTAAATGATCTATTTAAAAATTTTTTTTCAGTAAATTACCACTGCCTGTCCTACATATTACAAAATTTAAAATCATGTTCCCTACCAGATTTTTGTATAATCAGCACCCCACGTATCTCCAATTTCACATGCTGGCCCTCTCTACTCATTCTGTATGTTCTCCAGTTCCTCAGAATAGACTGTTATTCTTTCCTGCTATGGGACCTGAGTTGTTTCTTTCCTCCTCTCCCAGTAATGATCCTAATCAACTTAAAACATCACACATCACTTCCTCAAGGAGGCTTCTCCAGCCCTGAACATAGCATTCTGTACTTTTCCTTTTTTTTTAAGAGTCTTGCTTTTCTGTCCTGGCTAGAAAGCAGTGGCATCATTGTAGCTCACAGCAACCTCAGATTCCTGGGTTTGGGTGATCCTGCCTCAGCCTCTTGAGTAGTGACTACAGATGCACACCATATAACCTGGCTACTATTTTTACTTTTTTTTTTTTTTTAATAGGAGGATTCCTCTTACTCCTCTTACTCAGGCAAGTCTCAAACTCCTGCCCTTAAGGAGTCCTCCTGCCTCACCCTCCAGAGTGCTAGGATTACAGCCCTGAGCCACTGCCTGGCTACATCTTTCCTTTCTAACACTTTTCCTTGGACCGTCTTCACTAGCTCCATGAAGACAGCGGCCCCATCTATCTAGCTGATTACTGTATCCTCTGTGCATAGCACAATGCCTGTCAGTATCGGTAGGTAATCAAGTTTGAATGAATGAATATACCATCAATAAGTTGCTTTCTATACCCTCTCTCCAAGAGAAAACATTACCCAGAAATTTGTATTAAACATAACATAAATAGATGTCTTTGCTACCACCTTTTACCTCAAATGTTTAAAATAATGAGTTTATATAGCATTTATAAAAGCAAGTGTTTGAAACTAAAAGTCTCCAAGTAAGGGTTAAATAATTTATTTTTTAAGAAAATTTTAATTTCTGTGTTGCTAAATTGTTTTTCTAAATTATTACTTATTAATAACTTCTTCTTTAAGTTTCTCTGCAAGCAATCTCCTCTTTAGTAATGTTTGCTTCTCCTCTGCTGTCATTTCTGGTTTCTCTGTCATTTCCTTTAAAAAGAAACAAAAGGGAAAAAAATTGGCTACAGTATAAAATGGGTTCATTTGTCTAAAATTCCCAACATACTGCCTTCAAATGAACAAAGATTCAGGGCATTTGGAGGTGGGGGCAGGATGAGGGAAACCAGACACAGACTAAGATTCCTAATCCCTGTAAAATCTGACTTCTTGAGTGAGAAGAAGCCTCTTGGAGATGGTGACTGGGGTACTGATGCTGCTTTATGATGAAACATTCGAACATTTTGGGAGGCTCAGATAAAAGACCACTAACCCTTATGCACTCAGAGCAAAACAAATGAAATAAGAAAAGTATGATGAAGCTGCTATTATTTCTACCTCACAAAATGCTCATCAAAACTCACCTCTATGGTTTATCTTTCCAGGGTACAAGTGCATCTTTCTAAAAGAATATAAACGTCTTAACACAATAACTAAGAAAATGACATAAAGGCTATGTTAACCAGTTTGATGAAAAATTTCAAATTGTATATGAAAACACCACACTGTACCCCATGACTGCATTATTGTACAGAGCTAACATTTAATTTAAAAAAAAAAAAAAAAAAAAAACCTCTCACTTTCCTAAAAGCACTTAGCAGCTATTGCCCTAGCAGGGTGGTTACCATGAATGCCGCTACAAGCAAAATTAATCAGACGTATTCTCGTACATAATGTGATTTTGAGAACTCCACCTCTAGATTAGCAGATTTAGACATGCTCAGGCTAGCCATACCTCTGCCTCCCCAGGTTTTCCTTTCTGCTCCATGCTCTGTTTCTGCTTAGTCCTTACATCCTTTCTCATGGACATCAACTTATCTCTCTTCTGCTTGAGATAGTGTTCTCGTTGCCGAAGCTCTTCTGTTCCAAGTGCTGATAAATTCTAGGTCAAATAAGAGAAAGAACTATCTAAATTCAAGTCAACATAATAAATGGCACAAATACCCACTTACTGATTCAATTAGAAATTGGAGTTGAAGATCATAACAAAAGCAAAGAGTATGGCTGTTACATTGTCCCAGTACCTTGCGATTTTGCTCATAGTTCTTAAAAAGTGATGTCTTTTACTTACTGCTATTGGTCCTTCAATGCCTGCATGTTCTAAGCCAGGAATCTTCAGGCCTTTTTGTGGGAGGGAGGAAGTTTCAGGCAATAATTCCACCTTTCTTGCCAAGGGTTGTACTGACTGATTGGCAACATGCATTTTAACTTCTGGCAGTTAATAAGACAATAAGACCAATTAGAATGTTATAAGATATCTAAGTATTAGACTAGGTTCACTAAAATTAGCTAATGTTAATATTACTTATTTTTCCTCATATCCATTCCATAACATATATTCAGTATCTACATTGTGCAGGTCACTGGGTAAGAACAATAAACATGGTTTCCATCCTTAAGGATCTTGAACTGTAGTTTCTCACCTTAAGAATGACATTTCAACAAATACTAAGCTCCTGTTTGTATAGTACGATAGCTCCAAAAACATCTAAAGATGAGAGTACAAGTAGAGGATACAAGGTTAATAAACAAAAGTCAATCACTTTCCTTTATACCAGTAATGAACAAATAAAATTTGAAATTAAAAAATAATACCATTTACACTGGCAACCCCCAAAATAATACAGGTTTAAAATCTAACAAAACATGCCCAAGACTTATATGAGGAAAACTACAAAAGTCTAATGAAAGAATCAAAGAAAAACTAAATAAATGGAGAGATAGTCCATGTTTATGGATAGGAAGATTCAATAGTCTCAAGATACCAGTTCTTCCCAACTTGAGCTACAGATTCAGTGCAATCCCAATCAAAATCTCAGCAAGTTATTGTGTGGGTAATCCCAAACTGATTCTCAAGTTTATACAGAGGCAATAGACCCAGAAGAGCCAACACAATACTGAAAGAGAAAAAGTTGGAGAATAGCACTATCCAACTTAAAGACTTCAAGATATAGTAAATCAAAAGGGTTGTGGGAAGATGGCCGACTAGTAGCAACCTTTGGCAGAGGCTCCTAACCAGAGGGAGAAAAACTGAACAGAATCAGATTCTATGAAGCCAAAGGTGGAGAGCTGAGCCAAGAAAGAAGTTCGGCAAGCTGTGACTCCAAGGAAGAGCATTCAAGAAAACAAATTATAGGTACAAAGCCTAGATGATGGGAGACTCCTTCCCCAAGCGGGAGGCCCGCCTTGGGTTCTCTGCCAGCAAGCAGGGAACAAAAGACTTCATTTTACCTCACTGAAGAGAGCTGTGGCTAAACACTGGGTCTCTTTCTCCAGGGAGGTCCCACTTATGAACCTAAACACCACCCTGCCAGGCATAAAATTAAACAGATATTTTCCCCAACAATTCCATACTCCCAGTCCACCCTTCCCTCCTTGCACTGCAGTCTGAAGTTCTGCCCCTTACGGAGTGCACAGTACTTGGTCTTGTCCTGGGAGATCTGGGCATAGTGTGGACTGCCAACCCTCAGGATGGAACCTGTGACCAGTGGGGAAGAAAGAGGTTGTGGGAAAAAGGGACACTCAAGGGAAAGAGGAGCAGTCCCTTGGTTATGACTTTGCCCAGCCAGTGGTGGTGTTGATCTTAGGTTTGGGCTGTGTCTGGCAGGAGGGGGTACAGAACCTGTGGCTCTTACGATGCCCACAGCAAAAGAGTGGTTGCCAGTGTGGACTGAGTTCGGTGGGTAGGGCTGGTTCCCAGCCCCAGCTGGGCCTGCAAGCAGAGGTTTGCCAGGTATGGACCAAGACCTGAGGTCAAGGACATGGTCTCCTTACTCCAACAGAGCTGAAAAGCCTCTGGGAGTGGACAGAGACCTGCAGATGGGGGCATGGTTCCCTGACTCTAGCTAGGCCAGCAAGCAGAGGCTTGCCAGGTGTGGACTGAGACTGGCGGATTGGGGAGTGGTCCCCAGCTCCAACTGGGCCTGTGAGCAGAGAAGCAGACAACACTGTGGACTGAGTCTGGTGGGCGGGGGTGTGAATCCCTGGCTCCATTGCTGGTGGAGACCCTTGGATCCCTCTCTGTTGAACAGGGTTTGCATTGAGACAATTTAATTGAAACTTGTGTCTGGGGCTGTCCACCTGGGGACACTCTGAGGTTGACCTTCAAAGTTCTATAGCAGAGAAGAACTGAAGGGTTGGGGCTAGGCACACAGCTGTCTATATCTCTTCACAGTCAATATTTAAACCTAATACTGGGTCTTAGGAGAGGGTAGAGGTTGGATGATATCAAAACAGAGTTAGCTTGTGCTATCTCACCAAGAAGGTCCTCAGAGTCTCTGGCCAAAACTCTGGAAGGGGCCATTGTAAGGTTGTAGAAGATAAGCCACAATTACAAAGCCTAGCACTTTGGTAAGCGGCTGATTATCTCTACTACCTGGGAAACCCAATTCAATCTTACCCCACTAGTTCTAATAACCAAACAGTGGAAAATAAAAATGGTGCAGAACCAACAGAAAAACTGTGGCAACATAAATAACCAGAGCAGATCAACTCCCCCCCGCCACAACCAATGAAAAAGGAAGTACAACTGAAGGTGTCATATATAAACAAATGATTAAAATGTCAGAAATCGAATTCACAATATGGATGGCAAATAAGATGAATAGAATGGAAGTTAGAAATTGAAATCCAAAGAGTAGTTCTAAAATTGTCTCAAGAAATTAATGAATTCAAAAACAGAGTCACCAAAGATACGGACATAATGAGAAAAGAGATAGCAGAGCTCAAGGCACTGAAAAAGTTAGTCGAGAAGCTCCAAATACAGTAGAATCCCTCAGTAATAGAGTTGATCAGGCAGAAGAAAAGATCTCTGAAAGTGAAGACAAAGCTTTTGAATGCTCTCAATGCTCAAAGGCAGACAAATGGAAAGCAAAAACTGATCATTCCCTGAAAGAGTTGTGGGATCACTCCAAAAGATCAAACATTCATCTTATAGGAATTCCTGAAGGAGAAGAGAATGGTCCTAAAGGGACAGATGCTCTACTCCAAGAGATTATGGAGAATTTCCCAAGCATTGCAAGAGATACAGAAATTAAGATAGTAGACAATTTCAGAACCCCAGCAAGACTCAATCCAAATAAAGCATCCTCCTGGACACATTGAGATTAACTTTGCCAAAGTTAAGATGAAGGAGAAAATTCTGCAAGCAGCCAGACATAAGAAAAGCATCACCTACAAAGGGAAAAATATCAGAATGACTGCAGACCTCTCTGCCAAAAGATTTCAAGCCAGAAGAGGATGGTCATCAACCTTCAATCTCCTAAAAGAAAACTTTCACCTAGTATCCTATATCCAGCTAAACTGAGTTTCATTTGTGATGGAGAAATCAAATACTTTAATGACATACACATGTTGAAGAAATTTGCCATAACTAAACCAGCTCTCCAGGATATTCTCAGACCCATCCTCCACAATGACCAGCACAATGCTCTACCACCAAAGTAAACTCACTCAGAAATTTTTGAACAAAACCCAACTTCCACAGTGGTGAAAGGATTAAAAATATCCACTGGACATCCAAAAAACATGACACCCAAAATACAAACAGGCTTATCAATTCTCTCAATTAATGTGAATGGTTTAAACTGTCCTCTAAAGAGGCATAGGCTGGCAGACTAGATATATAAACTCAGACCAGATATCTGCTGCATACGAGAATCTCACCTTACCTAAAGGATAAAAATAGACTCAGGGTGAAGGGATGGACATCTATTATACAGGCAAATCAAAACCAGAAAAAAAAAAAAGGGTTGCAATTTTAGTTGCAGACACAATTGGCTTTAAACCAACGAAGACAAAGAAAGATAAGAATAATCACTACATATTTGTCAAAGGAAACACCCAACATGAAGAGATTTCGATAATTAACATTTATGCACCCTAGCAGAATGCTCTTCAATTCATAAAGCAGACCCTAATGGATATGAACAACTTGGTATCTTCCTGCACTATAATATTTAGAGATTTTAACACCTCTTTGGCAGTTTTGTATAGATCCTCCAAGAAGAAACTAAACAAAGAAATATTAGACTCAAACCTGACCCTAGAACAATTTACAGATCTCTACAGAACATTTTGTCCTAATAAAACTGAATATACATTCTTCTCATCAGCCCACAGATCATCCTCCAAAATTGATCATATCCTAGGACACAAGTCTAACCTCAGCAAATTTAAAAGAATAGAAATTATTCCTTGTATCTTCTCAGACCACCATGAAATAAAGGTTGAATTCAAGAGCAACAGGAATCTTCATACTCAAACAAAGTCAGGAAAACTAAATAATCATAGGTGCAATGATAGCTGGGTAAAAGATGAGATTAAGAAAAGAAATCACCAAACAAAATGATAATGAAGACACAAATTATCAAAACTTGCAGGATACTACAAAGACAGTCCTAAGAAGGAAAATTATAGCATTGGAAGCCTTCATCAAGAAAACAGAAAGAGAGGAAGCCAACAACTTAAGGGGTCATTGCAAGCAACTGGAAAAGGAAAAACATTCCAACCCCAAACCCAGCAGAAAGAAAGAAATAACCAAAATTAGGGCAGAATTAAATGAAACTGAAAACAAAAGTATCATTTAGAAGATCAAGGAAACAAAAAGTTGGTTTTTTGAAAAGATTAACAAAATTAATAAATCTTTGGCCAACCTAACCAGAAATAGAAAAGCAAAATCTCTAATATCATCAGAAAAGATAAAGGTGAAATAACAACAGTCACCTCAGAAATTAAAAAAATCTTCAATGATTGCTATCAAAAACTCTATTCCCAGAAATATAAAAATCTGAATGAAATGGACCAATACCTGGAAGCACACCACCTTCCTAGACTCAACCAGAAAGAATTAGAAATCTTGAATAGACCTATATTAATCACTGAAATAGCATCAATAATATGAAATCTCCCAAAAAAGAAAAGTCCAGGACCAGATGGCGTCACATCAAATTCTATCAAACCTTTCAAGAGGAACTAGTACCTATGTTATACAACCTTTTTCAAAGCATAAGGAAAAAAAGGAATACTTTCCCAACACATTCTATGAAGCAAATATCGCCCTGACTCCCAAACAAGGAAAGGATTCAACAAAGAAAGAAAATTATAGACCAGTATCATTAACAAATATTGATGTAAAAATATTCAATAAGATCTTAGCAAACAGAATGAAACAACACATCAAAAAAATTATCCACCATGATCAAGCTGGTTTT